GCAATTGTTTTTTTAATCACAAAATTTGTCTCTCAAAAATTTCAAAATTATTTGTGTGAATAGAAAAATTGAAGCATTTTTATAAAACATAAATAGCAGAAATTGAAATGATTTGTAAATTATCTATCTGACTAATAAATAATATATTTGTCACATTTGTTAAAATTAAATATGCAAATTTTTTTTGTTTTTATTCTCAAAAAAATTTTTAACCATTTGATAGTAGAATTAATTTATTTATTCAAAAAATTATATTTTATAGAATTAATTAATTTATTCCAAAAAATTATATTTTGGGAAGATTTGTTTTTTTTTTTACGGTAATGACTTTATTGTTTCAGTATGTATATGGTGAATTTTCGTTATTTAATGGCCGCAATTGTAGATTTAATTTAAAAAGAATTTTTTTGAAGATATGATTTTGTTTTTTGATTTTGCTTTTAATGATTTCCATTAATTATTTTCAATCTAATTTATGCGATAATTACATGTGTGACAGAGTTATATTTGTAATTTAATTAAATTCAATTCCATTTATTATTTTATATTTATCACATTTCCTGCATTTCAAAATCTAATTCAAGTTTAATCCTTTTGTTTTAAATGATTGCAATTACAATTTGATAATTTCAAATTTTTAATACATTGTTTTGATATAATAAAGATAAATAATTTAGCAATTTCTAATTGATAACAGTTTTAATGATAATTTTACTAATTGTTAATTTTAAATTTTGATAACTTTATTTAATGTAAAATAACAGCTTTAATGACAGTTTTACTAATTGTTAATTTCAATTTTAATATAATAGAATATGTTGCAGAGATGTTGTATATAATATCAGTATTGAAACATTCATTGAAGTACATTCAATCAAATGGCCATCAAAGGAAAGCGTTGTAAAAGAATGCTTAATGAAAGGAAAATCAAAGGTTGGCAATAATAATAATATTAATAATAATAATATTAATAATAATAATAATAATAATAATAATGATAATAATATTTCATTCTAACAATATAACCAAAAAGCTAAAATTTATCATTAATATAATTTTATTGTTAAAAAATTTAAATTTTTCATCAAATAAATTTCTATAAACTACAAAATTTATTAATTGAATTTTCAGTCAAATTTGAATGAAAATTTTCGGCAAAAAATAATTAAATTTTTTTTTGATTTGAATAATTTGTTAAAAATAGTAATCAAGCGGGTATTTTATTCTATTACAAAAAACTTTTCAAATGAAATTTCAAAATTTCATTTATTGTTCATTTTCTAATTCTTTTCTTTACAAAATTAAATGAGATTGTTGTCGTCGTCGTTGCTTCGTATTTGGATGGAACGAAAAAGAAATGAAATTTCAACGATTGATAATAATAAGGAAATTTTTATCGAATAATGATGAAAAAGATAGAAAATAAAATTTTTATTTTATTTTGAAAAGATGAAAAAAATTTTTTAAATGAAATTAATTATGATGAAATTTTTGAATTCAATTCAATTCAAAATATTCGAATAGCAAAATTTGCAGCACAATTTTTTTTCATTCGTTGCATAACTACTACAACTACAACTGCAACTACAACATTACATTACCCGTACAACAAAATCCTGTAGAAAAAAAGGAGGGAAAAAAGTGAAAACGGAAAAAAATATCCGTTCAACTTGATTAATCATGCATGAAACAAACGTTCCGGCTAATTATGAATAATCCTTTCTCTCGTTTTTCTTCCTTTAAATGATCGATTTCACTTTTTGCTTTGTTGTAAGTTCGATTCTTTAGTACCAACATAAAAAAAATGGGGAAATTATGAGAAGCGGAAATTTTATTTTTTTGGAAAAAAAAGGGACAGGAAATGAAAAATTATGGGATATCTCGGGAATTCATATATCATCATTTATTTATTATTTCTACCAAAAAGTGTAGCAGCGGAAAATTTAATTTTTGGAAAAAAAAGGACAGGTAATGAAAAATTATGGGATATCTCGGGAATTCATATATCATCTCATTTATTTATTATTTCTACCTAAAAGTGTAATCAAAATAAAATTTGAATTTTCCATTTTAAAATTTAAACTTTTAAGCGGAAAATTTAATGCTATTATAATTTAATTCTATAAATAAGTAATTTTATATAATTCAGGAAGCATGTCATAACTATGTACGTATTTTGGCTAAAGATGATAATCAAAGTATCCTAATTTGTGGTACTAATGCATTTCAACCGATGTGCCGGAAATATGAGCGTGAAACATATGATGAATATCGACAAAGTTTAGAATTTTCCGGACTTGGTATTGCACCGTATGATCCAAATCATAATTCAACATTTCTTCGTGATGGTGATTTATTATATGCTGGAACAGGTAAAAATTATTTCAATAATTAATGCTCAAAATTAAAAAAAAAAAAAAGGATTTTTTATTATACTTAAAACTTCTAGGAAATATGTAATTGATAGTATCCGGAAAGTAGTATCCGGAAGAAATTTTTGCCGCATAAGCAACAATTTTATCCATACTTTTAATAATTTCTAATTAAATATTATTTATAAAAAAATTAATTTTAACGATATTGTGTTTTGTTTTGCTAAATAAGCAATGTTTGTTTATTTTAGTAAATTAAAAAATTGTTTGTTTATTTTAGTAATTGAGTATTAAATTTAAAATTTATATTTTTCATTTCTTATTTTTTCCACTTTTTTTTAAAATCAAATAATATAAAATTAAAAACGAAAATTAATTACAAGTAATTTTCTTATCGATTTATTCTGTTAAAGCTTAACAAAATCTCATCCATTCTTATCAAATCAAATCTTATCAAATTCTTATCAAATAACGAAAAGTTAAAAAATAGTTTTAATATTAAATTAAAAACAAAAATTAATTACAAATTAAAATTAAATTAAATTAAAAATTAAATTGAAATTAATTACAAGTTAAAATTTTATTAAAACTTATCAAAATCCCATCCATTCTTATCAAATTAACATAAATGAAAAGTTAAAAAAAAGTTTTAATATTAAATTAAAAACAAAAATTAATTACAAATTAAAATTAAATTAAATTAATTACAAGTTAAAATTCTATTAAAACCTATCAAAATCCCATTCATTCTTATCAAATTAGCATAAATTAAAAGTTAAAAGATTATTTTCAAAAATTTTATGAAAAATTTCTAACAATTTTCTTTTGCATAATTTTCTTCATTATAAAACTCTTATCGATCAATTTTATCCATCCAACCAACCAACCAACCAACCAACCGATCCAACCGATCCAACCAGCCAACACATTAACCATTCATTCATTCATCGTATGACCTTCGAAATTTCACATAAATTTTAAAATGTTAACGAAATGAACTAAATTACTGTCATCACACATCAACTTTCCCTTTATTCCAAACGAAATCAAAGCTCTCATACTTTTTCTGGCATTTTTACATTTATTCGTAGCTGGCTGCCAATAAATGATCGAAAAAAAAATTTCCATTTTTTTCCCACATTTTAAATGAAGTAATTAATTATGGGAATTATTTGTGAAATGGCCAAATTTCCAATTGATGAAATTTTAAATTTGAAATTGTAATTTAGCATTTTTTTCAAGTTTTAAATTTATTAATTAATATAAGAGATCTCTCATTTTAAATGAAATAATTAATTATGGGAATTATTTATGAAACGGTCAAATTTCGATTCGGTGAAATTTTAAATCTAAAATTGCAATTTATATTTTTTCAAATTTTAAATTTAATAATTAATATAAATAAAGAGAGCCCTCATTTTATAATTAATTATGGGAATTATTTATGAAATGATCAAATTTTGAATCAACGAAATTTTAAATTTGAAATTATAATTTATCTTTTTTGAAATTTTATTTTTAATAATTAATACAAATAAAGAAAAAAAGGTAAATATTTATTTTAAGAATCATTCGTACACTTATCATTGTTTATATTTATCGTTAAGTAAATATAACCTTTCTAAATGTAAACTATTAAAGGTAAGTAAGAAGAAAATTTTGAAAATTATAATATTTTATAATTATGAAAAGTGAAAGTAATTGAAGTGATAAAACAATTGAAGAATTAAACAAATTTATTTTTTCATCAATCAATTAGTTCTTTTTCAAATTTCAATCCAACAATACATTAAATTAAAAATTTAAGTAATTTTAAAATTTATTTCTAAAATTTAACAACCGAAAATAATGAATGATATAATTTTAACATAGCCAATAATTGTAATCTTTTTACAAACGATTTCCTGTGGTGTTGTTTGTTGTAAATTTAATTTTAATTTATCAAAAGAAATAAGTTTGGAAAAGGTGAATTATAATGTTTATTTTAATGACACATAAGTTTGTCAATAATTTTAAAAGACGAAAAAGGAAGAAAACGAATGATTGAAAAATTACGACAAAAAAGAGAAAGCGGCAAAATTTCTTCAACAAATGTTGAAGAAATTCAAAAAATATATATTAGCAACGATTTGCATAATTTTTTATAAATTATTAAACTTTATGAATTATTGCTATAATGAATTCATTTACAATTCTACAAGAGACAATATTTTTGATAAGTTAAAAGGTCAAATTAACTTTCCATTTTTTTACTATCAAAGTTTAATACCACTTCAGAATGCTTTCATTTTTGCTTGTCATCTGAATAGTTCCTCGGTACAAAGGTCAATTAACAATTGAATAGATGATCACTCATTCAATTTAGTTATTAATGAAAGAATTATTTACACTCTCATTTAACAAAATACCTTTCTTTCATAGAATTTGAAATGCATTTGCATTTCTAACTTAATAATTAAATTGAAGTAATTGAGTTAATAAATAATTTTAATCGAAAAACTTAAAATCAATTTTCATAATTTAAAAATCAATTCACTTTTCTTAATATGTAAATTGAAGTAATTGAGTAAATAAATAATTTTAATCGAAAAACATACAATCAAAATCATAATCATAATTTTAAAATTAATCCATAATCATAATCATAATCATAATCGCAATCATAATCATAATTTAAAAACTTTTCCTTTCATTTCATTCATTTCATTTGAATTTTATTTCAGGAAAGAAAAAATGGAAATTGAATAGGAAGATTTTTAAATGAATACTAAACACTACCATTACCCATTTTTGCCTGACCTTTTCTATTTTCTGTAATGTCCTTCAAAACCTATAAGATATCATTAAAATTTGAACTTTCTTCAATATCTCAACAAAAAAAAACCAAACAAAATAATGACATTTCGAATTGATCCTAATCAATAATATCCAGAAAAGTTAAATGATCGAAAATGATTTTTGAAATGTTTTTAATTTTAGTTCATTACTGAAATTTATTACTGAAATTGCAAATTTAGTATTGGCACACGAAGTAATTTAAAATGGTGAAAAAAATAATAAAAGCGAATTTTGAAATAATTTTAATTTTAGTTTGTTACTAAAATTTATTACTGAAATTGTAAATTTAATATTAGTAGTTTGAAATGGTATAAATAAAGAAAAATACTTGTTTTGAAAAAGTATTCAAATCAATAAATTGCATATTTGATATATGAAATAGAATAGGAAAGTAATTATTTAGAACTAAATAAAATAATATAAATAGTAATGAATTACTGTAATTAAATTATTGCATTCTTTGTGCACACAACAAGATTATGCTAATGAAAAGCAATAAACAAATTATGTTGCACTATAAAATTTAAAATTCATTATATTTTAATATGTCAACAATAGAAAATTTAAAATTCATTATATTTAAATATATCAACAATAGATGAATAAGAATTAAAATATATTCATATTTTATGAAAATTTTTTGAATTACAAATTTTTGGAATGGTTTAATATTTTGGAATGAATTTCGGATTTATATTAAATTTTGAATATTTCATTTTGTTTTAATCATAAATGAATTACATATTTGAATATATTATGTAATGTAATGAAGAGACATGGAGTTATTGATCGTTTTCTTTAATTTGATAAAATTTCTAATATTCTCTTTAATTAATTTGAATATGCAATTAATTTAAATTCAAGTAACTTTTGAAACTTCAGTAGTTTTAGTTAAATTTTAAATAATTTTTATTATTGTTTCTTTTTTTTTTTCAAATATCACCCAATCTATGTCATAATTTTTTAATAAATTAAGCAATGAATTCAGTTAATTAATTATTTAAAGCAATTAATTCAGTTAATTAATTATTTCACTGCTATAAATATATTGCAGTATCGGATTTTTCCGGTGCCGATCCATTGATACATCGACGAAATATTACAAAAATTATTGATTTGGGTATCCGTACGGAACGAAATGATATCAAATTTCTGAACGAACCACATTTTGTTGGTTCATTTCGAGACAGTGAAGTAAGTTTGGCAGAATAAGGAAAAATTAATAATTAATTAAATTTCAAACAAATTTCATATATCTATATTCACGTTAACTATTATGACATATCTTCATTTTACGCTTAACATGAAATCGTTATTTTATGCTTAACATGGTACGTCTTTAGTTAACGTGGCATGACACGTTTTTAGTTAACGTGAATACAAACATGTTATGTTAAGAGTAAAATAGCGAACTAAAGACGATATGTGAAATTTGTTTGAAATTAACTTAATTTTTAATTGTTATGTTAAGCGTGAAATTTTTTTACTTAACTGTTTTATGCTTAACATGACGCGTCTTTATTCACGTTAGTTATTTTTACACTTAACATGATACGTCTTTATTCATGTTGGTTATTTTTACGCTTAGCATAACGCGTCTTTATTCACATTAATTATTTTTAAGCTTAACATGGCAGTCAGTTATTTTTACGCTAAACATGACGCGTCTTTATTCACATTAATTATTTTTACGCTTAACGTAACACATCATTCTGTTACTTTGTTACTTCTCTTAAAACTTCTTTCTTTTTGATATGAAATTATTTCAATAAATTTCACCGAATGATTTTTACACACACATATATATTCCTAAAATTATTTCCAAATGAAAAATGCTACAAATTTTATTGGACGATTTAAAAAAAATGAGAAACTAAAATTAACCGTTATTATTCCCTTTTGCATAAATTGAAATTATCATATCTTTCCTTCTTTTCTTTTAATGATCTTTTCATTGTCCATTTTTCATTTCAACCAAAAATAATAAATGAATGGATGGCATCATTTCGATGGATTGCATTACAAAAAGAATAATACTTTTTGGTTTTGTTAAGATAATAAAGGATTTCCAATCGAAAACCGGTTCTCCGGTTTTTCGTCTTTCATTTCATTTCATCGTAAACATGACAGTTTCTTATGTATTTATGGAAATAGTTTGGAGAAAAAAGTATTGATGAAAATAGTGGAGAAAAAAAGAACAAAAAGAATAAGAGAATTATAAATTTCTTTAAACTTTTATTTTCTAAAAAAATGCTATAATTTTATAATTTCTTGTTAATTTAATTATGAAATAATAATTTTCAACAAAACAAAAAATTCGACGATTTTACTTTATTTGCCTTTTTTTGTTTTTTTAAAGAAAAATTTAATTAATTTTGCAAATTTCATTTGTTCGTTTATTGCAATATTCGATTATAATTTGAAGAAAAAAACGCAAAATTTGAGGAAAATTAATAATTTTAATTAATAACTAATAGATAATTAATAACTTAATAAATAATTGAAATATTTTAATTTTAATAATTAAATATTGAATTTAGTAAAATTTTTGCTAATATTACAAAAGTATGAATGAAATTTTAAAATGGATGTATTATTTTCAATAAACACATAAGGATCCGTCATGTTTGCTACGATGAGTGAAATGTATTGCGATAAAGCATTTTAGCATAATAATAATAATAATAATAATAATAATATATCTTTCTAAGTTTTATTTAAATTTAGTAAAATATAATTTCAAAAAATACGGTATGTATTGTATTTCGAAGAATACGGTAATATGGTAATGTAATAGTTTATAGAAAGCATGAAATCATTTGTTTGAAAAAATATTGATATTTTGCGACAATATACTAAATAATACAATTTACTTGGTTTAGTTTAAATTAAAATCATTAATGTTATTAATGTCAATATAATCATTATTACTATTAATATTATTATTATCAATATCATTACTATGATATATGTTTCTCTTCTCTTCGCATGTTTCCCGTTTTTTACTTTTGAAGTAAATTTTTATAACTATAATGCAATACTATTTTTAAATAATATAATGTAATACTTTAATATATAATAATGATTTATGACGATACTGAATTGTTAATAATAGTCATAATAACAATATTATGATGTGATGGCAATATAATACTGGACTACATATTATGATAATACTAGATAATTAGTAATAATATAATCATAATATAATACTAAATTATTTTTACAATTGATGATTTCATGTTGAATGAAATTTTTTGTACTTCCGATATTTACGATTAAGACGAAAATTTTTTTCCATCATTTATTATCTATTCTTTTATTTCTTCATTTCTTCATGAAAATATTCTCGTAGGTACTCACTTATTCCGAATCCATCAATTCTGTATCATTATTAAACTAATAGTTCAAACGATTTATGTACTCATTTCTGGATCCATCAATTCTGAATCATTCTTTTAACTAATAGTTCAAACGATTTATGTACCCATTCTGGATCCATCAATTCTGTATCATTCTTAAACTAATAGTTCAAACGATTTATGTACTCATTCCGAATCCATCAATTCTGTATCATTCTTAAACTAATAGTTCAAACGATTTATGTACTCATTTCTGGATCCATCAATTCTGAATCATTCTTTTAACTAATAGTTCAAACGATTTATGTACCCATTCTGGATCCATCAATTCTGAATCATTCTTAAACTAACAATTGAAACGATTTATGATATTTTGTTATATTTTAGATGGCATTTGAAAATGAGAATTTATTCAAAAGTATTCTTTCGTGAAAATACTACTACTATAATAAAACTATTTTTTCACTAATTTTTTTCCAAACAATTATCGTTGAATGAATTAACAGTTATTTAAATATTATGCAACTAAAGAAAATAATAACCTTTGTTTTTGCTAATTTTATTTTACAAATTCAAATTTCAAATAGATATAATAATTAACAATTACTTACAGTAATAATTTTAAATAAAGAAATGATTAATGGAATATTAAATAAAAAATTCGTGAAAAACAATTAATTTTTAATTAATGAAAAAAATTTTTTAAGCAATTAAATTTTCCATCATTAAATATCACTAATAGAAATAATTATTTGATTCAAATTCAATTTTATTTATTAAATTTCCATTATTAAATATTACTAATAGAAAGAATTAATTTATTCAAACTTTATTGTCTCGATATAATTAATTCATTTCAATTTTTTCAGTATGTGTATATTTGGTTCCGTGAACAAGCGGTTGAACATGAATCGTGTAATGATGGTGCTATATATTCTCGTATTGCTAGGCTTTGTCGATTAGATAATGGTGGTCCAAGGCCTTATTCGAATGAATGGACATCATTTGCAAAAGCTCGATTAAACTGCTCCATACCAGGCCATTATCCGTTTTACTTCGATCAGGTTGGCAGTAACGTGAAACATGAAAAAAGGCTACCAGAAAAAAACCTTTTCAAATTTTTTTTTTATTTCTATTTGATATGTAATTAAATAATTAATTAATTTTCTATTTGATATGCTGACATTTTTGTTTATTTCAATTATGCAAACTTTTTTGGTCCCAAATTTGTTCACTTTAAATTTGGCAAATACTTATTGTTCGTTTTTGTTTCTTAAATTGATTGGTACCACCAAGAAAACAAAAACTGCAAATAACTTAAAATTTGTTTATTTCAGATAGAAGCTATTGCACCACCGGTAAATAGCTTTTATTCATCGGAGATGAAACAATTAGTCTATGCGGTATTTCGTAGTCCATTAGCTGGTATCTCATCATCAGCCATTTGTGCTTTTGATATTCAACAAATTAACAACGTTTTCTCACAATCAAAATACGGCGATCGGAGCAATTTGCAATCACTGTGGATGAGCGCATTTTATAGTGACACATCAAAATATCGACCCGGTAACTTTATTTTACTATCAATATTTATTAGATTAAATTGGAAATTGATGTTTTGTGCAGCTCAACATTAATTAGCTGGTTAGAGAGATTTTACAATGAGAGAATAAGTTAAGTTAGAAGTTTCACAATTTGAAATTATGTCAAATTAGATATTTTGAAGCTCTAGAACAAATAGTATATTGATTGATATATGAAAAATTATTAGAATACGTTTCAGATTTTATAAACTTTAGAAAAATTATTTTTACTACTTTCATGTTTTGAAATTTTTATTTCAGGTAAATGCACAAATAATTCCCGATTGCTACCGGAAGAAGCGGTAGCATTTGCGCGAGCTAATCCGTTAATGAATGAAGCTGTACCAAATTATTTTGGTGCACCAATAGCAATACATACGGGATTGGATCATTTTACACAGATTGTTATTGATCCTCAGGTATGATTTTTTTTAATCATTAATTAATCAATCGATCAATTAATCAGTGTTCAACTAAATTTAACGATGAAATAGTTTTTTGTTAAAAAATTAAGAAATGATTGTGAATTGTGCTGCATGTAATAATTGATTATAGGTAAAAGCCATTGATGGTCATTTGTATGATATTATATTTATTGGTACCAATCAAGGTAATGTTTTCAAAATGGTGAATTTGGCCGGTATCAAAGCTATCACAATGCAACCATCCTATCATATCTGCACATTTGAAATTATTAATGTAAGTTCAAAATTAAACATTTATAAATGATATTTAAGGCATAGAAAAAATGCTATTATCAAATCGAAAAAAGGCCTTAAATTTTGTTCATTCAAATGGAATTTTTCGAAGAAATCGAAATAAAAATTTTTGATAAAAGCTCATCAAACCTAAAAAATAATAGTAATTAAGAAGTTTTATTAATTAGCTTTATTAACAATTTGATTACAAATTTGTTAATGATAATTTGAATACAATGTATTAATTTTACAAATAATATAATAAAAATATAATATTAAAATTTCTTTTAAAAAGAATACATTAGTATTGATTTACTCATTATCTATTTACAGGAACCAATTCGAAATATGATGCTATATCAGGGAAATATCGGGGATTTATCTGTTGAACGATATCTTATAGCTGTAAGTGAACGATCTGTTGCACGTGTTCCACTTGCGCAATGTAATCGATTTAATACGTGTACCGATTGTGTTGCCTTACGTGATCCACATTGCGCATGGGATTTAGAAGCTAAGAAATGTGTAATGTTAAATAATAATTCAAATGGGTATGCTTCTTATTTGATTATAATGATAGTTATTGTTATCAATTTATTAATCAAAAAAAAAAAAAATGTTATTCCAAAATTATCGCAAAATGTGAAAGGTCAAATGGCATTGTAAAAAAGCTATTGAACTATCAAACAATGTTAAAAATTAAAAATTATATGCCTTAGAAAAATATATTGCTAAAAATAAAACATATCATTATCATTGTACTGTTCAATGAGGAAGAATACAATGTCAAAGGTTAACTAATGATTATCTATTGTGAAATCCATTAGCAAAATGGCTAATGATTATAATTGCTGTATTCAAAAATTATAAGTGATAATATATTAATTTTACTGTAAGAAGACAGTACTGATTATTTTATTGTTAAATGAATTTTCTTAGTATTTAATACTTGTTAATCTTCAAAGAAAGATATCATTTTAGATGAATTTAATATCATTGTAGGATATATGAACAAGAAGTGATAACAGGTCAATCAGAAGGTTGTGGTACCTTAACCGAACATCAGCATTTCTTCAATCCTGATATTGCACCATCGATTGTTGCTAAAAATGAGGAATCTTTACAAGGTAATTATTGAAATATATTATTATTTTATTCTATCATTTAACCTGTAAATAATTCTTTAATTAATTAACTAGTTAAGTAGAAATAATCAAAGTGTTTCACTTTTGTATAATTAGTTAATTTTAATTTTTAATACTGTATATGGTAACATTATATGAATAAATTTTCGGTTATTGTAACAATAAGTGAAATACTAATTAAGAATTAATTTATTATTTTAATAGGAAATCATTAGAATACAATTATTTTAAATTATTGTGCTGTTGATAAGTAATTTAGATTACGGTATTAATAGTATGAAATTCATCCTTTTAAGATGTATCATATATTCTTCCATCATCAAATTCTCCAATAATCAATAAAAATTGTACATGTGAAGAGAAAAAGCCAATTCCGGCTTGTGCTTCCAGTAGTGGTAATTCAGGTTCATTCGGTGTAATAGCAGGTTTCTTTTTCTTATAATCTTTGTTCCAAATTTTAATTCATTTAGATGAAACAGAATTTATAAAACTTACAACTATTTTTATAGAAATAAAAAATTCATAAATAAATAAACAAAAACTTTTTCAAAACCATTTTTCAAAGAATTATAAAAATCAATTTATTTTTTAATTTAAAAAATAATTTATGAAAATTGTAAATTTGGCAAATTATGAGAAATTTATGAAAATTTTGTTATTGACAGATTCTTATAAGAATAGAGAATTTGTTTGTTGCAAATTATGAAGAATTTTGTGTAAATTATATAGTTTAAATTAAAATTTAATTTCATCATTTGAAGAATTTTTAAATTTAATTATAAATGGTCTGCATAATTTTCAGAATCCACCGCATATTCATTTTTCAGAATCCACCGCATATTCATTTTTCAGAATCGAATCGCATATTCATTTTTCAGAATCCACCGCATATTCATTCCTTGATCATAGTTTTTTTATACCAATACTTTGTGCTACCACTGCAACATTGGCAATATTTTTCGGTTTTTTTGTTGGAAACTTATATTGCCATTGGAAATTACCAAATAAAGCAAAGCCTTCACCATGTGAATCATTTAGTACCACAACTCCTCAACCTGTTTATGGTACCAGGTAATTCGATTTATAATCGAGTTTCAGTAGTATATCATCAAATGGCATTGTAAAATTTATATTACCAAATTAAATTTGCATTATGAGGAGAGAATCAGCGAATGAATAGTTTTAAAAAGTTTATTGCTGAAATTATAAGTATAGTTAAACTATCATTACTAAATATCATTACTGGATACTGAATTTATTATCATTATTATCACTATGAGATGAAATTAAAAATTATCTTTGATATACAAATTTCAGATTATCATCATCATTGAGTATTATTAATGCATATGAATCAATAACAAAATTTAGCGGAGCTATTCCACCACGATCTGACTCACCCATATCACTTGTGGTTTGTTGCTATTCAAATTTCATTAACAATTTTAATTAAAATATCAACCTGAAAAAAAAAGAAATAATTCCTTGCGTACACTTTTAATTCATAATACCGTAAATATTTATTAGTATTAATGTTAGAAATATTTTGATTAATCGATGAACTTATCAATAATCAAAAAAAACGTTAAATTTATTCAAAAAAAGATTTTTCTTATAAATTATCAATCAATCAATATTATTTCAATACATTCAACTTAATTAAATTTGTGACAAAATAATTTTAAATTCATTAAATTAATAGAATTAATAATAATTAATTATCGAATTTCAGTAGAGAAAGAATATTTCATAATATACATTATTTTATAGGTGGAAGATTTATCACATTCATCATCATTTGTGGAGAAATTAAAACAATCAAAAAATCATCGCTCCAATCAAATTTATTTGTAGCAAATTTAATAATTTATTCGATTGGTTAAATTATACTTTCAAATTAATTTGCGGGTCTTTTGTTTGTCATTTGTATAAGTTTGATATGATAAAAAAAAATTTTTTGATAATAACGATTTTATGATAATAAAATATGAAAAGAAAAAATGAAAAATTAAGCTTCATTTTAAATCTTAACTAACTTTCATTACATCGTTGATTAATTAATTAGGGACAGATATATGTATATATAATTTCTTCTTTGTTTCATCCTATAACTTTATCTTATGACTTTTGTTACAGTGAAATTTAAATGATAGCAAAGCTAACATAAGTTTTAGTTGAAAAAATGAATTCAAAATGAAAATTACGAAAAATTTTCGAACTAATTTTATGCGATCTGAAATATTTCATTTAAATCTTCAATATTAAAATCTCATCAGATAAAATAGCTTGAAAGGATAATAGCATAGGTATGTATAGGTAACAATTCAAGTTTTACAATTTCAAATAGAACAAGAATTTCAGCAAAAAAAAATAAGTTCATGAAATTTTGATCTATTTTAGTGTTTTTTCCATTTTTCAAATTAATTTCAATGAATGAAAAAAAAAAGGATCATTTATTTAAAAGAAAAACAGATTTCCATAAATGTACTTCGTATTCTTCATGTTGTGATTTAATACCTTAACTTATTTATAATAATAATAGGTAACTCGAATAAGTAATTAAAAAGTATTTTCTACATTTGCGTTACTTGATAATGACATTTGTCAAATATCTTCTGTTAACGTTTGTTTCAAATTTTCATGAATAATTGATTTAATTTTTTATTTAAATGTTCAGAAATTTTCATGATGAAACTTTTAAACACTGTTGAATGTTGAATCTATAATTTAAAATTGAATAATTCTAAAACAGTAGATTGATTCAGGATAAATCATATCAAAATTCAATAATTATTGCTAGGAATTAATTCAAGGTCATGAAAATTTAAACCTTGTAAAAACTGTTTAATGACTACAAAAAAAATGAAAGAAATATCGAGCATTGTATTTGCAAGTAGTTAAAGTTATCTAGGATTAAAATTAGATAAATTTCCATTTAAATTCGAATTAAATTTTTTATGATTCAAATAGTTATGAAATTACGATCGGTTAATTGCAAATATGATGATATCGTAAAATGACAATGTGGAATAAAATTCCTGAAACATATTTCTTTTGGTACAAATCTTTCTGTGTTTGTATTATAATTAGCTGTGTTATCGGTATTTGCATATTTTTGAACAATAGATGTGTCGCACACCGTATATTAACATTGCTACGCATACCGTACATATACATTTGTGTATACTGTATCCCAATATGTATACGGTGGACATACAGTACCCCGAAGAATGAATGCTGAAATTTGGAAGTACAGATAACGACAAAAGAAATAAAAATCTAATTATCATAATCATTTTTTACTTTCCATATATTTTACGAGGAAGTAGGATAATAAAAGATAGCAGGGAGGAAGAGTTGCCGGAGTAGGACAAAGAAACAAGTTATACCCGTCTAGTTACGGTAAGATAATGAATAAAATAAATTAAGCAATACTAAACTCCTTTTTAAGAACCTCTTTGTTCTCTAAAAATTTTATTTAATTATGTGCAATATAACCAACAGTATCATATTACTGAATCATTTCTCATCGACTAAAATTATATGTAACGATAATAAACTGATGTCAATTCTTGTTGATATCATTTTGTATGATAAAAATTGAGATAAACTGATTAAATTAAATTAAGCGAGTTAAAAATGATCACATAATAGTCGCTTGAAAAATTAATTAACGACATGAATATTCCTTTTATTACTTTTGCATATAAACATTTTAGTTTTAATAAATGCAAGATTTCTTTTAAGTGAATAAAATGGAAGGTTTGATAAAAAATTTTGAATGATTTAAAAGGAAACGGAAAAAGGCAAAGGATATAAGTGAAGGAACTGCTCATGAGAAAGATACACAAGTCTTTGATAATGGTTAAACATTTTGAAACAAATACTACAAGAGATGTGCTAACAAGGAAGAAGTGATAACAATGAATTCGCTTAGCAAGAAAAACAAAGCAATTAAATGATGAATGCAGGAAGATATTTTGAGTTCAAATTTGCAGCAAGGTGTCATGCACTATAGATATAAGTGTTGCAACCAATTATTTCTTACTATTATATTACTTACTCTCAAACAAGTTTTCAGATTTTAAATCTTCCTGATAATTAATTACCTTTATAATTTTCAGCAAATATTTATTTGCTCAAGAATTCAAACTAACTTTCTGTCATGAAATTTCTTTATACAGAATTTCGGTTCGTTTAATGTTATGTGGTAAGATGCGGTTAATAAATAGTATGAAATTTCTAGAGAATGATCAGGTAGTAACCTATGTTATAATTTAATCAAATATTTTGTGATAAAAGTGCCTGGTGATGATAACTTACAGCTAATATATGTTAATCGCTTACAGCTAATATATGTCAATGTTAATCGATAATACTTAGTAAAAAAATATTTGGAAAAAAATTTAATTCTCGGAATTTTCACAAAATTCTAAACCTTCTCAAAAATTTCCATTGAGTTTTTAAAATTAAATTTGCAGACATATATGGATCAAAATAGAAATGCATTTAGTGTAAGAAATAGTATGCACATAGTTGTGAGATGAAAAGGCAGAATGAGTGAAGGCGGAATGAAGACAATACATGATTTCAAAATTACGAAATAAATAAATGACCATAGATAGAAAAATATCTGAACTATATAAATAAAATAATGTAGGAAAATTTACGTAAAAAACAGCAAAGGTTACGTGAGACCACATGAGAGATGTGTAATACACGCAATGTTAACAAACAAAATAATGATTTAAAAGTAATAATATTGCACTGAGTGCTAAACAAAAATAAATAAATAAATAAACATACATATATAAGCCATATGAACAATAAAGCTAAAATTTTTGAGAACATAGGCTTTCGAATGATAGATATTTACATGGTGCAATGATAAGATAATATTGTGAATGTACATTGATTTCGTAATAAATTAATGCTTAAGTGAGAATAAGAATGTAATTAATTAAGGAACAAACAAACAGCCTCAAAAATAAAGTCATCCTAAGCAGTTCCGTATATTTTAATTTAATATCAAAATCTCAATGCTAATAATATTCCAAACTATTTAAATTCCATGGAAAGTTATTCAAAATATGAATAAAACTGATGTTATATATCAGTTAACTTGTTTTAAGCTTTCTTCTTGTTCTCAACATATAGCATATTAACAAGAAAAGTGAACAAGAAATTGTTTTTCATTGCTACTACGACGAGAACTATTTATATCGTCGTGTTAAATATCCTCAATAATTCTTGAATTGTCACATAAAAAAGAATCAACAACTTTTTACCTCAAAAAAGAAATAATGCATAATATCTGCGCTTCATTTTCATATTTATTGACCAAATTCAACATTCAGGGAAGGGCATCATAAATCATCCATTGTTTGTTCGATTTCACGCTGTACAGTGGATGCTTTGTAGCGATTCTTCAAAGCTTTCTCACCGATTTGATCCGCAAATAGTTGCATTTTATCGCGGAATCCTAGTTTGGAACCATCAATCTGAAGAAATAAAAATTGACTTCGACAAGTAAAAAAATTTAAAGCTGTTCTGAAGTTTTTTGAAATTCTGCTATAATTTTAGAGAATCAATATTAACAAAATACGAAAACCTCATAGACTGAATCCATTCCCAATACTTGTTGGATGAGCTAAAAACTGCCACCAGTAGAGTCCAAATTTTTTATTTTAAATGGAAAATCACCTTTGCTTCTTTTGCTGCATGTTGCTTTGCTTCCAGTTCAATGAGACGTACCTGTCGTGGATCTCGATATACTTCATGGGTACCAAGCACCTGAAGTAAATAAGAGATAAAATAAGAACGAATCAAGAAATAAGCGAAATATTATTACTGTTTCTATTTCATGAATAACAAAATTTACTTGAGTTCTTGGTTCCTGTTGATCGTCATCTTCATAAATAAGTTTACTATCATTGTCTGAATCTTGCCGCCCGAGATTTTCTGCAACTTTGTCATCCCACTGTACTCCCTTTTTCTTCATTGTCGTCTCGTCGAAGTTCTCACTAAATAAAATTTTTCAATGATTAAATTTTACAAATAAAAAATGAAATGAAATTATCAAGCAGTAAGGTTGCTGTAATATACTATGACCATTTGAATGGTTATCAAAACTGACTACTATTTGAGCCAAGAAAACATACTTGGTCAATCTCTCTGCAGGAATATCTTGCTTCTGCTGCTCAGCTATTTTTCCGACCACGTTCATTTCTGAAAATGTTATCTAAACGTCTGACCATAAAAATCAGTAATATGTGTCTAAAAAATACAAACGGAGAAAATATATTAAAATCTAATCTGAATCTTACTAACCTAATTTTATTGATGTTTTTTCACATTTTTCTGATATTGGTAAGTTTTTTGGCTTTTCAAAGCAATAATCGCCCTCTCTGGAAGAAATAACAATCTCTGGCGATACAGATTTTGATTGCTCTCGTTCAGCGATGTTTTTGTTTGAATTTGATTCAATCGAAAATGGTATGCGAATTTTTGCAAGCTCGTTAACAAGCTCACGATATTTTTGATGATCTGCTTCAGTCATTGCCGAACCTTTTGATTCAAGCTCATCCAACTGCTCATTCAACTCATCTCGCCTCTGCAAAATACAAAATGTTAAAATCATAATTTTTTTTTAAAGAAATAAGAACAGGACAATGCTTGAGAGTTTGAGTAAAAGATTTCGCGAAAAAACCAACAATTTACACATGAAGTTGTGAATTTACTTTAAAAAATATACACTTCATAAGAAAAAAAGAAGCTTAGATAGCATATACCAGCTTTTAATCTCAAAAGCATACGCAACATAAAAGGCAAACCAAAAATATAACATAACAAAGAGAAAAAGGAAACCACATAGAAAAAACCTACGGTGATATGACGTTTCGGCGGTACGGGTGGTGCTTTCTTTGTGAACCGACGTCCTGGACAGTTATCCCTCATCATTCCTGATTCTTGCGCTGTAACAACAACCGATGATCGAGCAGAATCGTGAGATGATGAGGAAGCAACCGAATTTTGTTCACGTAATGTAGGATTTGTGTTAATAGTTCGTGAAGCCTCAAATTGTTGCTGAGTAGAATTGTGTGGAAAAGGACGTTGATATGGAAGAATATTCCGCGAAGAGGTAGAAGAATAAGATGATTCGAATGTAGAATGATGATCTTCGATCAAGGGTAGGTTTGCATAGTCGGTAATCGGTGACGACGATGTACTTGACAGAACAAGTTCGGACTGTAAAAAAAAAACAAATAAAAGAGAAGAAAAAAAGAAACAGAAATTGGGGAGGGAAGCAGAAAGGATTAAAAACACCAAATTTTCAAATTTTTAAATTCAATTTGGACTTCAATTTTCATAATACAATTTTTATTTTTCTTAGATACAAAGCAACAATTTTTATTTTTCTTAAATACAAAGCAATCTTTTTAAAAATTCAGTTCGAGCTGAGGATGAAGTGAGAGAAAAGTAAAACTTCATCAAGAGAAAAGCAGATTTAGCTCTACTAAATGAGCTAACTGAAGGAACATTCTTGTACCATGCAAAAAAAATAAACGAGAAAAAAGTTATATTGATAGAACAAGTAACACTGGTATAAAGTATAGAAAATTCCATTGGGTAACAATGGATCGATGGTATAGGCATAGCTAAAGGGAAATAATAAACATAAGTATCACATGATGAAAATTTCAAGGGAGAAAGAAAACTTACTGGTAGAGCATTTTTCAATGCTGAATTATGGTAATGATTGGAAGAGGGTAAAGCAGAGTTAGCACAAAGATGAGATGGAGAATGTGATCGTGAATGGTACTGCTGCTGCTGTTGACGCACAGTAGGTGACAGTGTGAGACGTGAAGGTTGTATAACAATAGGACGAATATTCCGATAATGAGGTGGCATGGTACTGCGTTGCGAGTTTGTTGTACTTGTTTGATATTTTTCACAGTGTGTTGGAACAGTGGTACCGCTAGAAGATGGCTGCAACGATGTCAGGGATACTGTCAATGTTTTATCAACCTGAAAATGGTGATTGAAGAAAAATAAAGAATATATAAATTCCTCGCACGATATTGAGAACTGACAAACCAAACCGGATTCTGATAAATGTCAGATGTTGAAACCGAACGACTTTTGATGGGTTGATGATTGGTTGTAGTAGTAGAGCCATGTTGTGGCTGTGTCCGAGTATTATTAGTCATCGTTCCTGGATATCCGTTATGTGCAGGTTTCTCAAAAAAAAAAATGTATTAGTATGTCAGAATGATTTCTAACAAATGTTTCCACGATAATTGATATCGGAGCAAAGATAATTAGCTTATGGCTATCATGCATTGCTAACAACAAAAACTACTACATTCAATAGTTGCGACGAATTTTGTAATCAATGAAATTATCGAAAAGAGATTTTATTAAATGAAAGCTTTCAGAAAAATACCATTAAGTTGAAGTAAGCGTTACTGGAATAATTAGAAGTCATAGACGTAGCTGAATTCTGGCGTGAAAATCGCTGAATGTTAGCAGAAGCTGTAATATTTAGAACGATATAATTTATATATGTTATGATTTATATACGATTGATCAAAAATGTTCGAATTAAAACATATATTTTATATATCTTTTATACGATTATACAACATATACTTTATATACCAATTATACAATGCAAAAATATTGACTAAAACGGATTAAGTTGCGACAGCTAAAAGCTACAATTTAAGTTTTTCAAAATGTATACGTTAACTAAATTTGAAATAAAATTTATTGAAAGAAGGTTCGCTTATTTTTTAACCAGTAAGTGTGAAACTTAAAGTACTATAATAACATAATTATACGGGGAGTGAAAATAGGAAGTTTTTTTGAAACAAGATTTTAGAGATCTAACAATAACAAATGTATTTGATTACCATTAACAGCTACGTTTTCCGAAAAGTTCGGAATGGTCGACTGTTGACCAGAAGAAGGTAGTTGACCTGTCTACAACACAATAATTTACAAACATTTTCGGTAATTTTGCTAATTATTTTGCTCCTGATGATCAACAGCGGCAACGTCCTTTTGGCTTATTCAAATCTTTATACCATGCATCACACCACCACCCATCCAAAGATTTTTTTGGCTGATGAAAGTAGTCCTTGGAAGGTAAACTCATCATGATTCCATTGTACTTAGGATAAAAAATTACCGGATCAAATTCGCACTATATTCCGATGATTCGGTAACAATATCATGACTGTACAAAGACATCTGTCAAGACGGGTTTACCTTCCAAGGATAAATCATTCATACAATACAAAGGATTTTCTTCTTCGGCGATTGTCTTGTATTACATCGGTCTGTATTTTTTATCTCAACCAAGTAGAAAGTAGAAATAAGAAAGAAAGATGAAAAGAAGCAAACTTGGAAAAGAAAGAAATAGGTCTTTGAAAGACCGACCTGCATAATAGAATGAATGCCTGATGATGGTACTTGTGGTTGTGGAGGATTATTTAACCATTCGTAAAGACCATTGTATCGCGCGGCATGTTTGTATACCTCAAACGATACGATCGGTCCACTCGAAGACATTTTCGATGCCGCCCTAAAAATAAATAAATGCATAATTGATTAAACGTCGAAAATACCAATTTTCTCGCCTTACAAATGCATAATGTCCGCAAGGCGACAACAACCTCGACAACACTCCTTTTCTCCTTTTATTACTACATCGTTATCATCTATTCATCCTTGAGAGTATAAAAGATTGCAAAATGTTCCTAAAATGAGTGGCTATAACATATATCACAAAAAACTTATGCATTGAATAAAAGCGAAAAATGATCTGTTCCGTTTACAAAATAAGAATTCAATATGATCCATAGAACTAAAGGGACAAATACTTTTTTGACAAATAGAATACTTCAAAGAAAAAATGTAATAATTATAATAAAAAGCTGACAAGTATTTATGAATAAATGTACTGATTTGAAATTCTTGTTGCTCTCATAATTCAGTCATATTTAAACTCTTTGCTAATTGAAATTTTTAGTTTCTACTAAATAAAAAATGAAATCGAGCAATATATTTCAAAACGTACTCTTCTTGGCTGATGCCAATAAGTGATTGGCCATTGACAGAAAGCAGTTGATCTCCAGATTCAAGACGGCCGTCCTTGAAATGAACAATTTTTCAGCTTTCAAAATTTCAAACTACATGCTTCACTTGGTAATAATAAGTTAAAAAAGGTATTTTTTAGTTTCTCATCTACATGAGATATTTTTGGGACTTGGTGGACTTAAAAAACATTGAATCTCTTGAGAATTTTTAGGATGACTATTTCATACATTTAATAAGAGGTATGTATTCTCAGACTGTTACATGCCATCACATACAACCTACTAACTTTATTATGCGATTCTGTAATAGATAGCATTGAAAAAAATTTTTTCAAAAGCATAAAAATTCCATAAAACATTAAAGTCTTCATGGAAAGCAACTGGAATAAAAAAATGTGAAAACGAAAACAAACCCGATGCGCGGCACCGCCGTCCACAACTTTTTTCACATAAATACCAATGGAACGTTCTCCGATCCCCTGAACCACACAAAACATCATTTTAGAAATTGAAATATTCGAATGGCTGTAGAAATACAGTGCAGAATATCAATAATACTCTTTCGAACAACAAATATATAAAATGACAGACTGAAATTGATTTTCTTTTCTTTTACCTCATTTCCTAATTTTTTCAAATTTTCCTTTTCGATTATAAGTTTTTAAATATCTGTGAAAGTAGAGATGAAATAACAAGATTAGATAGTCAGAAAGTATTGCGAAACAGAAGGCAATAAAGAATAAAGCAGAAATAAGAAAAATAGACGATAATGTATATGTAAGTAATGAAGCCAAATGATCACAGAAAATTCTTAGAAAGATGGATAAAATAATAATTATGCGGATTATACGAACGTATCACAAACGAGCAATTTTGTTGTAGAAGTAGGTTATATAAGATATTATCAAGGTATTAACTACCAATTCAGCGATTATGACTTTGTTACAGAAGTATTCTCTATAATGAACAGTTGACAAATCACTAATGACAGTACGAACAAATACAACGCCTACTAATGTCATCCTTGATATGTTGTAGATTGGTAATGATAAGGAAAATTTTCCATCGTTGATGTAATTTCAGATATAATTACATGATATGTACACACATACCCAATTCCTTTCTCCCCTTTCTCCATTGCCTTTACTACAAATACCACTCTAATTCACATTTTAAACTGATGAAATTTAAAGAAAATAAAAACGGCGGAATAAGAGGGACTGCAAAAGATTATAGAAAAAAAATAGATCTCATTTCTTGTGGAGCAAAGAGCAAGAAAAACATAACAATATAAGGAATAATGAAATGATCTAATCGTTTCTCCTCTTTTCTTCCTTCTTCTATTCTAAGTGTTTTCCTTTTTATGAATGATTTAAGCTTCTAAAGTTGCTAAGAATTGATTTATTAATATTGGATTTTGATTTTAGTTTTTTATTGTTCATGTCTGTAATAACGTCATTAGCCGCGCTGAAAAACGATTTTAAATATAATTGATTTTAAGTAGAGGAGAGGGAAGAGATCAAGAAATTTTAATGAGATTGATAATAAAATTTTATGATATTTTTCCTTCACCTGAAAAAAACACCAATCCCATGGCGCAGAAAAACTAAAAATATTTATGATCTTATTAAATTGTTGATCGTAAGAGAAAGAAAAGAATTTTGGAACCACAACAATATAATATAAAGTGTACCTGAGCAGCTACAATACTTAACCCGATTCCACCAGTACCACGATTAATACTGACCATTACAATCTCCGACTGTAGTTCCTAAAATATGTCAAAATGAAATTTTTCCTTTCCAATTATTCGTTTGGTTCAAAGATCCAAACTGAATAAAACCAACCATATATGAGACCATACACGTCATCCCCTACCTCTTACACAACAATATATTTTACTTTGCAAAATCAAATTTGAAATTTCCGCTATATTTTAATTTACCATCATTCAACTTGCAACAGAAAACATCCAGTATTAGTTTGCAACTAAATTGAATTTCAGTATCAAAAAGGCAAGGTTCGGCAGTTGCAGTCCAAAAGACTTGATGAAATACACAGTATTAAGAAACCGATCGTTTTGCATGACTCACTGAATGACTCCGAACTTACTACTTCTAAACTCAAGTAGGAATAAGAAACTAATCAGGCAATCTCCCACACATGAGCTATACCATATCTTCATTATAATTGAAATTATTCCAGCCGATATTACTAGTGAATATAACACAGAGTACTAAATTGCGCCGATTTTCAGATTCTGGAAAACAATTCGAGCATTTATGTCCCGAAACTTCAGTTTAATAGTAGGTCCGGCCATAGCTCATTTAACCATACTAATAATTAATAATTTTCTTTCCATCTTCTTGTCGTCTACCCGATCAACTATGAAATTCTTAACCGTCAGCTACAGCGTCAGATGATCATAAATCGATTTACCAATTTTAAAAGTTTTGAAAATCAAAATTATTGTTAAAAATTACTCTTTTGGATAGTGAATTTACACTGGACACCGACATTTGTTCATGCAAATTGTTCGGTAATGTTCCCATTTCTGAATTGATCGATTCTCTCTTCTGCAACGAAAACTTGACCACAACATCACAAATTATCTTTGGCAAAGGACATGTTTAGGCTTCAATAAATTTCCAAAACATTCTACTTAATTTCTTCTCGATCAAGGATGAAAAGAAGAAATTTCCCAAAAGCACGAAAATAAAATGATTCAAAATACAGATAAGAATTACTTTTTTCTAAAACTTTTTGTAAATATAAATTTGAATTAAATATATAAATAAAAAGAAATGATGAAAAAATAATTATCAAAAAACATATATGTAATGTATCAAACAATAGATAAAAAAGTAATGATGAAAATGGTTATCAAATATAAAAAAAGGAAACGATATTATCAAATTATAGATCTTACATGAAATATGTATAAAATTTTATAAGGCTGATCGTATGACCTTGTGTAAGAACTTTTCATGGAAATATTTCTCTTTCTACAAAAGAAAAAGACCAAAATTATTTAAAACCCATCATTGCAATATAAACGAAAGCACTTTCTATTCCAACTTTTTACCCATTTTCCTTCCCTCTCTATTACGATGGATCCAATATTTCTCTTGACATATATTAATTCTCACGAAACATAGATTGTTAGAAGCATTGATATCAGCGAAAGAAACATAAGAGATAGCCCAAATATCGTAATAGTATTTTTATTACTTACTAGTGTTTAAAAAGTGGTTTTAAAAAAAATTAAATATGTTTAAAACCTTAAATTCCAACTTTTTCCATGATATTTACCACAATTTTATTCGAATGAAGAGCAAGGTATTGGTCTCTTAAAGATATCTTTTATGAAAAAGTTACTCTTTAAAAAGAAAAACTATGTAGGTTAACCATCACATGGTGATAATGACTACATTATTTCCGCTATTAAAAAGGTTAATCCGATTACTTCGATGAAGATGAAAGGTAAGAGTTCTCGCATAAAGTTCGAATGCATTCTTAGAAATCAAAAAAACAACTCGAAACAACTCGTAAGCATATGTGACACAATATCAGCATATGAAATTTTATTTATGGAACATTTTGGCTTTCTCTTGAAAAAAGAACCTGCCAAAATATCTATCGAGATGCAGTCATCAATGAAACGGGTGTTTCATTCCTCATCTTCCCAAATGATGTCGCAGTCTGAATACTACGGAAATAAATTATGAAAATCATAAAAGACACAGACTATACAAATGCGCATTCACACATATACATACACATAAACACATACACCCTCTCACATTATTAGTTCTTACTCCATTAAAACCTCCTTACAGTCCAACAAATTTACTAAAAGATTCCAAAAAAATAGAAAAGGAAAAAAATAATGGTAGGACAGTGAAAATAGAGCTATTTCGGATAAATAGAACAAATAAGCATCACAAATTCTTTTTGATTTCACTGTACAAGTATTTTACATCATTAAAAATTTTTAGTGACGATGACTGACATTCACAACCTGGCATACTTGCGATGTTTATTGAAACCATTAAATAACATCAATTAATCAAAGTTTCATCATTTTCAAAGTCTTTTCCCAGTCCAACACATCTATATCCAAAATTCGCCTATTCTAGGCTACTTAAAGTTCATCTATTATTTAATCCTTCATCTATCATTTTCATCTTCCTTTTACCCCAAATGTGGTTGTATTTAACTCAACATTCCTAATAATATTGAATCAATCTTGGGAAAATTTTCATAGTTTGGGTTTTTTTATGATCACTTTAATTAATGATTTTTCATTTTATAATCTCCTGCAATAAGTTCAGATCTCTGTAGTACTAACTCCAGAAACTACATGACATCATCAGCGATACGTGAATTGCAGGAAAGTAAATGATACTAACAAAGTAAGACAAAAATGGCCAGTATGAGAAAATAGTATCGACGGTCCAGAACGATGAGAAAGTCATATGTTCCGTTCTGTAAACCCAAACAAAAAAGAAAAAAAAAAACCAACTGTGTATCATTAATTATTATCAACAATGTCGATCAAAACTATATTCGCAATTATTTCCAAAGAGTCTGTATATACCTTCAATCTTTGTAGTGAGCCGATCATTTTTGTGGGTTCTTCAGTAGGAGATCTAGCTTTCAAATAAACTGTCCAACTGCCTGAGGAATGGTTTTGCGGAAAGAAACGACATAAACCTGAAAAATGTTTAATGATTTTTTGCAACAGTATTGATTCTTTGCAGTAGAAATTGAGAATTCAAATCTTTTGAAGACCTTAAACATTTGAAAAAGTCACCAAAAATCAGCATCAAATCTGAGAAAGAAATTTAAAACAACTGAGTACCTTGCGCTTGCAAACCACTAATTACTTCAGCAAAAGCGGGAGAAAGTCCACGAATAAGATCTGAAAATGACTTTTTTTTCATATTTTTCAATCATCTGTAAAACTATGTAAAAGAATAATACAATGAAAGACACAAATTATCGATTTATTAATTCTGATTTATTTAACATGTTTAAATAATAAAAATCAAATTTTGCAGAATCGCACGATATTGCAGATGTGTTGGAAAATAGCGAAGGCACAAAAAAGTTGTTATCACTTTTAAAAGAAAGATGTATGTTCAAGAGTATTGCAAAGTGCGTTTATGAGATAAAGTTTAAATAAGACATCGAATTAAATTAATAAGTCATTTTAAATAAAGATAATGGACACAAAATAAAACAAAACCTGGAGAATAGCCATCCTGAGGAAGAAGGAATGGCAGTTGCAGCTGTAGCTCTTCTTCAAGTTGTATGGATGTTTCATCTTGTGCTGCCATCACATCTGCATGTATTTCCGCAAGCCGTACAATACTTTCAACTAGCTCCTTTGAGACTGGCTCTTCACCAACATCTAGCACTATATGCTCAAGGAACCAACGTACCTTAAAAATTTGTACATCATTCCATCTATTATTTTCGCTTCCAAATGCCATTAAATAAGTATACGATTTGCATTGACCTATATATAAATCTGATGGATATATCGTTCCGAGTAACAAAACTTGAAATCCCAAAATTAAATTGGAAAGTTTTAAATAGAGTTAGATAGAGATATGATAAACTATTCGATCAAAAGTTTATGGAAGCACGGTCGCCATTGTGTGACAACTATAGGTTTGCAAATACTTTTTAGTCTTTCACAGCGTATCAGCTAACAACCTAATCCTGGGAATGGAAGAATTGATTTCTTCTCAGAGGAATTCGACTAGCAAATTTTTATTGGGATGTAAAATATTTCAAGACGAAAGGAAAATCTAAAAGTTAGCACCTGTACACTGTTTAATTTGTAGCAAGTGGCACCCAAAGTGCTAATCTGATCAACGGTTTTTGGTGTTACAAGAAGAATTATTGCTTGATTGATACGATCCATGTGACATTCAGCTGCCAATTCCAGTCCTTGCCGATAGGCCCATTCATTCACGTGACCAAGGCGGGTTCGCAGTCTAAAATCAGTGGAGTAGACCTTATCAAAATACTCTGCACAATTTAAATTGCTCGAATAAATGTAACAAATAGAAGGTACAAATCAAAAACGACATTACGGTTTGAAACTAATTTCAGACCAATCACTGAAAATTTGAATACACTTCCATTAAAGCGATTACTGAAGAAGCAAGATTCAGTTCTGTCACAAGAGAGAGAATTTTAATTGTGAGTCTTAGAAATAGTGCTTTTATATTGCATTAGTAAGTAGAACTTTAACACTAAGTTGCAATTACAGTACCAATTGTTTCAACATATTAATTTCAGTTATGCATTTGCCTAACTGTACAGTATTCTTTCCAAGTCAGTGAACTTTCAATTGGAAAATAAACTTTAGAATAATTGCAGCTCTAAACATACCGAACACCGAAGGCTCGACTGCAATAAGGTATGCCTGACGAAGATACAAGCCAATTAAAGAGTACCACATTGATGTAATAAAATAACTGTGAGAATAATTGAATTGTTAATGCTGCATTCAACCGACAATGACGTAACAAACACATAATTTCCTCCAATCTTCTAACCATGTCATCTGAAATATGACTTAAATTTAGAAACTTTTGTCAAATTTTGAAAAATTATTTTAAAAATATTAATAAAAATCAGTAATCTGCTGGAGTAGATAAAGGATTACCCTTGTTTTATTCAACCAAATTCTTCCCTAAAGATCTGAGATTGTATGAACAACATAAAATTTTGGAAGATAAATAAGTTGCCCAGGGAAATATATAAATAATATATTCATTTTCTGTCTATCAGAAAATCGCACCTGAAGTTTTGAACTTCCAACTTCAACAATGAATAGCATGCTTGCCTTAACCCATTTAAGTTACTTAATTTTAAAAAGACATATACACTTATAACATAGTTATCTTCCTGTTATTCTCACCAAGACTTAGATCCCACCTCTATAAAATCTGATAACTTCTATTTCCTTATAAAAAACGAGTACATACGTGAAGCAGATCGATCATCCAGGAATGCATCTCTAATTGAATTCAGCGTGCTGTCTAGACTACTTTTTAATACTGTTCCCAGCATTTCAAACGTCTTTTCAACACAACCAGCTAATATCTGTTGAGGCATACCACGTGACAATAATGATAAATCGATATCCTGCTTGAAGAAATTTAACAATTCACTTGAATTTGTAAGCCAGAATCCCAGAGACTCTCGAGATCGTCGTTGCTGTAATATTTCTTAGTTTTCAAAGTGTGCAATTTGAAAGAAAAATCTACCATATCAAAACCTCTTCGGAATCGTATGCAATTAGCATGAAGACTTAAAATCTCTGGAATTTCATTTCATTATATAAAAACTCCCCTAACAATGCAATTTGAGATTGAACACAGTCATACTACTTTCCTTCCAAGACTTTTTTCTCTCAAAAAACTACTGAAGCACTGTAAAGTACATTGTCAGCAGATTTAGAAATAGGATTTGAACAACTCCATTGCCGCCAAAAGAAACGTGACTCATTTAGTCGAATATATCATTCGGAAACCACGAAGAAATGCAAAAAAATATTTAATATCTCCACATTCAGTTTCAAATTTGATAAAATATTTTGTAAACTGCTCTAATCTGTCAATAGTTTAGTTTCTTTCCATTTCATATCATGATTAAATCGAAACTAATACAGAAACCTTCGAAACAAGAAGAAAACGATTAGCAGCTTTTGTTAAAAATAGTTGTAGTCGAGTGCGGCTATCAGCAACTGGAACCGTTTGCGAAGGAAACAATAGTCGATGGCGTGCAACTACGTATACCACATATGCTGGTGTAAGTTTGAACTGCGCATCTTCTCTTTCAGGACAAATTAATCGATGCAGAAATTCGTCTTCAGCTATAGAAAGAATGCATTAATTTTGGAAATTGCAAAGAAAAATACAATATTATTAAATTCCTCAAGTTGCCTGAAGAAATTCTTTCTTTGCTCGACAAACTTCTCACATATCCGGAAATTTTTTCACGAATATGTATAATGTCTTCTCATATACCCAAAAATAAAAATTACAAACCTTCTTCCCTTACTTCAGCCAATGCTGGTAAAGTATCAGCAATGCACATTGGTTTCTCAGTTCCAAGCCTATTTACAGTAGACGTTGAAACATTTCCTACTCCTTCGCTTATTGCCGACGATGACTCTAACCTGAAATGGTGAAACAATTTCAATTTGAAGAATAAGATTAACTAAAAAGAAGACAATCTTCATATAATATGGGAGTATAGATAGTAAGTTGGGTCCGTAAGACAATCATCTCTTCATGGCAAGCTGGTATTCGGTACACGGATAAGTAGTGCTAAGCTGGACTTAGTAATGAGATAAGCAATGCTAAGTCGGGTTAATGCTCAAGAAAAAACAAAAAGATCAGAGATGGAAGATAAGCTAAAGAGATTTGGTTATAGCAAAATATGAGAAATACTCGCGTTAGAAAAAAAGCTGAACTATTGTTGATATTGTGCAGTAGTAACTTCTCGGCCGATTTTGTTAATATTTAAACAATCAGGAAGTCAAGCTCGAGCGAGCAGATGCAAAAGACAATTATTATGTCAATTTCATGAATAACTTAACAAAAATTTAGAGAAAAAATTAAATTTTAAAGGGAAAGAAAGGAAGGACGATATTCTGGTATCAATAGAAAATTTTCAGTTCAAAGAAATCCATGCGTCCAAGAATTAGTCCCATTATTTCTGTTATCAATAGAGATTTTTAAAAGTACATTACATATCATGTGATTTAAATTAATTTTTTACACTATGTATGACTTTGCCAAAATAAAATTTTAATAGCTCACATTTGATTGAATAAATCAGATGACATCGTTCGACTAATTACTACTTCATTTGTTTTATTAGCAGTAGCAGTAGCAATATCTAATGGAATATCAGTCGTTGATTTATATCTCATATGGGCTGCTAAACCTGGAAGTGGTATGCCAAGATGCAAGTTTCTGTTTGAATCAGGATGATGATTAATCAAGAACGATGATAACAGTTCCACATTTTTAATTGGAGTTGATATCATATTGCCGGCGATATCGAATGTTGTCTCCATCCTTTTCACGCTGCTTGCTTCAGCACTAAGAAGAAAAAAAGGAAAGTTTAAAAAATTCCGCAAAAAAGAGATCGTAGTGACTCATAAATGCAACAATGACTCATAAATGTAAAAACGAATTTAAGCAGAAAAGAAAAATAGGATTGAATTAATTCTTTCCAAACTTTTGAATAGTTGAATTTAAATGTTTGAACATAAGATCTTTCCACAAAACCTGACATTGACATATTTCTCATCGTCATCAAATAGTGACAATGTTTCAGATGTATCGAAAAAAATTCGCTGATATTTAAAATTTTTAACAGAAAAAAATTCAGCTTATATTTTTTAAATTTTTTATGAGAAAAAAGAAAATTTTTCCAACTAATTAAACAATTATATCGAAGACCATAAAAAGTTGACCCGTGACATCAGTTAATCTAAATATTACCAACATCATGCGATATTTGAGAGAAAAATATCCCGCATATATTAAAGAAACATAAGTTATATTAAACGCCGATTAGTTACTGCTTTCCTGAGTTTTCAGATTTTCAGGACAGCAAATCTAATCACTATCCAAACCTACCTAAGGGCCTTTTACTTTAAAATGAAGCTGCACACAGCAAGGATGAAAGCTAGAACAGGAAAACTATCGACTAAGAAAGATAAGCCAATAACTATTACTGCTCCTTATCAGTAACTATCTAGCTTAAACAAACAGAGAAAATTCTCATCATATGCAGATAAACTATTTTCAAACTCCAAATTACTATAAATGAAATCAAGATTCTAGAAAAATTTAGACAATGTTAACAAAAGAAATCTCGGAGAAATTCATATCTTTCAAAACCTCCACTTTCAATAAAATACATTGCTATTTTCATTGCAACTTCCATCCTGTACCTTTCGGTATTTCTAGAAGTTTTCTAAATCTTCCGAAGACCAGAAAAACAAAATAGTTATGAAGTCACACTGTGTAAATTTAAAAAAACGATATCAGACAAAAATATCAAAATATTGAAGTAATTTTAACCTTTTTTTACTTTACTATAACTGGTAGCAAATAACACCCATCACTTAGAAATGTTAAATCATTCTATCCAATATTTCCATTCATATATAGGAATGATAAATAATTCAGACTTAGCTTCACTAGCTCTTTTGAAATGAATATTTATGATTGACAAAATAAAACATGAATCATCAAAAATGAATGGAAGTACAATGCTATATAAATAATGTGTGCTTATATGCGCATATATTTGTAGGCATGGCAGTTAGATCTAAACATATCAATGCAACAATTATTCCAAAGAGAACAAGGCAAAGTGAAAAATAGTAAAAGGAAGAAAAATCACTCATACATTTCACTGCTCTTTCAAAATAAGCATTTTTATAAGTTATGCAAAAAACACGTTTAATTAATTTAATTAAATACGACTAAAATGAAAGAATTCGGACTCATGAAACGATTTAAAACTTACAATACATCTTGTTTGCAATATATATAATACATTATATAACTTATGGTGAGGAGATGATACCAGAAAGATTCATTCAAATATTTATCACTGTTCTCACAATTTTTTCCTATTGGTTCGAAATTTACACGGTTTTTTATATATAATTTTTGAAAATACATAATTTTTTTCTTCTTAATTTACGCCACTTCTTTGAAACCATTTCTTATTTCAAATTCCTTTTAAACTTTAAATTCGCGCAATTTTTCAAAATTTATGACTTTTTTGTACGGTAGCAAAATTACTATTTTCCATTATAAAGTGAGAAATGACAACCCAAATTTCAATTTGTGCTGTGAATTAAAATGTCTCCACCTAAATTTTTCTAATTAGCTGCAATAATTTTAACTTTATTTTTGGCTAAATTTATTCCAATAACTAGCTAATGAATCAAGAAATGCAGAGTTTTAGTCAAAAAAAATGAGTTAACACTAGTATTCGAGGATTTTCATTTTTCAAGCTGGAATTAAGAACCAAAGAGCTGCATATCTAACGCACAATAATGCAACCCTAGCACATACGAAGGTACTTTCGATATCAACAATGCTCTATCCAAACAATGAATCATGCTGTTATTCTATTGACGAGACACCCTTTTAAGAGAGTACAAAACACTCAACGTGTTTTAATTCTAAGCGATACCGAGAGTGCCTCTTCCTCATGATCTCAAAAAGTAATACGGAAAAAATATTCGATATATGATGTTTGCTTCTAATAAAGAAAAAAATTGGTTTTGCGAATCTATCCAAAAAAAACAAAATAGAGAAATAAAATAGTATCAACATTAAATAACATATTTTTTGCGGATTCCATGTGGGAATTAAAAATGACAATGATTGCATAATTTTTCAAAATCCTTATAAAAATGGTTCCAAGTAAAAAAAGGCATACAACACGAGACTCTCAAAAAGAGCATAACGGAAACCGCAATGTTATCAAATGGATCACTGCGGTCACTTGGTCACTACGTGAATGCAGACATTCAGTTTTCATTAAATCTTAGTAAATATTTTAATCATTTTGGGAACTGAAGAACGCTTTTTTGTCTTTTTCTTCGTGTTGCTTTAGATAGTCTCAATATAAATCTCAGAATTCAAACTTTGCATTCTTCGAGTAACCCGGATATGAAGAAAAAATGAATAGAACACTGACCTCTTCCATCTTGGCATTATTTCCAATTTGTTAGTGCTTCCATTAACCATATGCATCTTCTCAGCATCCTGAAATTAGTAATACCTCATATCCAGCCTCTCAAACAATTTAGGGTGCTTAAAGTGAGAGAGATTATATTGTTTTTCAAATTCCTAATTATGATAACTCACAGTTTTACGAAATTTTCACAATTTAAGACTCAAAATCTCAATAAACTAACCCAAGCACTAAGATAACGAAACATATGGCTGTGACCAATACCAATTATGTTCCCATCACGAAGCGCTATGGTTTGAGAAATACGTTGATTGTCAACCTGCAAATTTCAACTTCTTTTTCAGATTTGAAATTTCATTTTAACATTTTTTTCTCTTTCAAAACGGTATATATAAAGGACAAACCTCTACATAAGCATTTTGATCAGATGGTGTGATTGTCACAACACCGTCTTGATAATTGATAACTGCATGTCGAGGTCTAATATACCGGCCATCAAGAAATAACCCCATAGAATGATCTGAACCTATACCCATCACACCAAATGGAAGATGTATTGGCTTCATTTCAGGGATTTCTTTACAATCTAAATTGTCATAGTGCCATAAATTCATTAGTGTGAAATTGAATTACGACCTCAAGAAATTTTGTTTTGCGAAAAATAGCAAATTTTTTTACATAATAGACATAGTGAAAGCAGTAAAGGACAAAAGTTAAAAATAAACAGTAAAGACACCTGAGAACTGATAATTAGAGCTTACCTAAAGTTAGTTGCAAAAGACATGGTTTGACAGCAAATAGATTTTGTAAGCGCAGAATTTGCGAAGTTCCTATAGAAAACTTTTGCGGATCAGTGTAACTGACGCCAAGTGCTGCAGTTGATGATATTGACGAGTGACGGGCATGTCGTCTTGGTACTTCAGATGAGTGCTGTTTCACAACAAAAAATATTTCCTCCGACGGATCTGGTATACGATTTGCTAGGCTAAGTAAAGGGTATTCATTATAATCCATAATTCGTTCACGCCGACTGGTATTCAAGAATCGCAAATCGGTTAATGAACGGGAAAGCTTCGCAGAGACTGGTATCACCATCTATAAATGTTGAATTATTTTTCTACTGCTGCAATAATCATCTTTTACATCAATATCTAACAAGCTTTCATGAAACTAGAATAATGAAATTTAAGCAACAAAATTTAGGCATTAGGCACTGATTTGTATATTACTGGCATTAATATATAGTGATGAATTGCTGCTATTAATAGTCAATAACATTGCCAGGCTACAAGGAACATCATATTGTTCTGTGTCATATACATAACCAGTATTTAAAAGACGGATACGAATATTATACCTCAACCAAAACATACTGTTCCACGCTTTTGTTGACACCATATTTTTCCAATACTTCCTCCAAAATTCTACTTGTAGTATCACGTACTGATACAAGAAGTGTGACGTACGGTCGACTTGGTTCCAATTCATAACCATAAATCTTTAAACTACCACCTAAAATATAAAGTGAAATAAACACGGCGTGATTCAAATTCCTCAACTAAAATCTTTTTTAAATCAGATTTGCCTTTTTTCATTTTTTTAAATTCTTGGAGAAAAGAATTTTTGCCACAATGTATAAATAAATAAAGCTTCAAAATTTTTGCTCAAGGAAGTTTCAAGTAAAGCCAAGAACATATAATCCCATTTAGATTACACTCTTATGTAGTCCTAATTAGCGCTTTAAACGGTGGACAGCTTCTCTTCAAATCATCAGGTTAAAATAATTTAGTCATTAAACATTTTGAGCTCCACAGGCTAGTTGGAATCGGTGCCTAAATGGCAGATGAGGGCACTAGCTGATATCGCTGTTCTCAAAGGACACGGAAGAAATGTTGCACGCTATCAACATGAAATATAGTCGAATCAAGATTTTCTTTAATGTAGGACTAATCATTTAACGATGCGTTACTCACAACGCAGCGCCGGTAATATGTCCAAAAATCATCATATAGCACACATAAAACCGCCAATTAGCACTTCTAGTTGCTAATTAGCTTCTCAAGGTCGTGCAAAGAACAACACCTTAAATTGTTCGTTGACATTTAAGCACCCACTATATCGAGTTGGAAATCAAACACTAAAATCAACTCACTTTCCCAATTAAAATAATTGTGTACGCAGAAAATTCCAATAAAGAATTTAATGTTACATTGAATTTTGAAATTCCTAGAATTTTTCTAAATTTAAAGTTTTCGATAGTTATCTCTACCGTTAACTTCCTACAATGAGACATTTCTGTATTTTCCTATCAGTTCCTTTTATTTGCAAAATTATATGAATATATCGTCTGCTACATCCTTTTCGTATCTTTTCCTACTTTTTATTTCAAAAAAGAGTAATTACTCCGTACTTTATTTCGAAAAAGTACTACTTCTTTTTACAACAAATAGTAAGTGGCATCTAATATATGACAAAAACTCTGCATTAATTCCTTGAATTCTTTGTCATGAAAAAAAGCTAGATTGCAATGCTTTCATCGTTACCTTGACCTAAATCTTTTAATTTCGCCGCAATCTTTTTTTCGCGTTGTTTTTTCATCACAAATTCTGGATTTGAAATTGTTCGCGTAAATGTCGTTGGAGGCAATGCTTTATACAATTCTTCAGAGGCACGTAACTTTGGCTCTTGTTGCTCAACTGCTGGAATTTTTGTCGTAATTGAAAAATATTTTCGTCAGTTTTACTTTTCTAGGCCCCGAATTCTGCTCAATATTCTATTCGATACTGCGATTGATTATTTCGTCAATTCTCTTCTATTTCTATTTGAACCATCAAAAAAAAAAAATTTCCTAGGTCTTATGATATCTACTATCAGCACATGAAATGTCAGATAAGATTTGGAATCCGAACTTTATTATTCATCACCACCAGAAAGGTAATAAGCAGTCAATAAGCTTACATTCGCTTTCAACAATAATGCAATCCTACCATAGAATCGGAATGTGATCAAGCTTGAAATACTAAGTGCACATTAAAGAATTCCCAGTCAAATTTACAAGGCTCATTAAATCGTTCATAAAGAGTGACCATTTATCCGCTTCAAATCTTGAAAAAAAGTTGGAGAAAAAAGTAAATTCTGATGAAAAATAAGTTCTAGCTCTAATTTTAATCAACTACAAATGTAAACTAGCATGAAATTAATAAAACGAAACCTTTTTGATGCTTCTTTTTCAGTCCTTTTTCTTCCTTCTTCGAAAACCTTTTTTGATTGCCACTCAAACTACCTACGGTATCCTAAAATAACTCGCTTTCTAAAAAAATTATAAAAAATCCTAAAAAACTGCAGACCATTCCCCATTCTTATAAATGTCGTTCTCATAGAATTTTAATAATGCGCTTACTGGCAAATATGTAGCTTTTGGAAGAAAGTTTCATGCTACCATATATCTTTTAAAATATTAATGCAATCCATTTATCGTTCGTGAATTATCTCCGAGTTTCGCATATTTTTTAAATGTGTACAACTGATTCTATCTTATTTGACTATATTGCTTATGTAATACTTTGTAATTCAAAATGTCCAAGCCGCACAAGATCCCTTGTTAAAATCAATTATTTTTCTGAACTTCTGATTGTTACTCCATTGTTATCTTTACAAAAATCTTGATGCCAAATTTTATACCTTGACAGAAGTGGTATTAGGATGTGCCCTCAACAGAAACCGACCTTCGCGATCACCTTTATGCCAGTTCAGTTGTACAAGTAATGGTTTCTCACTGGGTCCTAAGCATCGTTCATCGCCATTTTCATGAACTTCCCATAAAGTATATTCTGGATCACTAAGCCTGAAAATTAGCTCGTTCTATTTTTCCTGCGCTAATATCATTTTTAGAGTAAAATCCAGGAGGTGATCATTTCTGATAATGAAACCTAATTGTAAACTTGCATTTTCAAATCAGGATGAAACTTGTCGACCAATGCACTGATAACTGCTCGGGCTGTTGCTGTACTGGAAACACGAATACATTTCGTCAATACTTTATCTTTTGATTCTTGAAAATAGAATCGCATAACACCATGAATCTCAAGATCCTGAAATCTCACGAAAAAAAGTTCTTCATTCCTACAAATTAATAGTGGCTTTGAAAAATTAAATATGAAATCATTTATAAATGCAATTGCATTTATTTTTCTGTTAATTTAATTGTTAATGTTTATTCTATTAACGATTTATCATGACCGACACATGTGACGCGACAAAATTACCATACTGGTGAAATGGAATAAAAAAGAAGCATGCCGGAATTATGGATTAAAAATCATTTTTTACTGTCTCGAAATAAAACTATGACAAATGTCCAACATAACTATTACAAATCATTTTTTTTTATTTTAATGTTACAGAATTAAATAAGTTGCAACAGTAGTCGTATAAAAAATCTCGAAATCGAATTTTTTAGCAAAGAAATTTGAGAAAAAGGCTAGAAAACTTCCAAATCGTACAGTTTGCTCTAATAGACTAAATGGAATAAGAGAGATTGGATTGAATAAATCAGTCAGCTGTGCTCTTCTTTTTAAATTTACTAAATTATCGCCTTTTTTCAATCACAAATGTTATGAATAATGAAGACAGCTTAAGTTGAACAATCGGTTATTTAAACAGGATATTTTCTATAATATGTTAAACCACAAAAATTTAAATCCAAATACCTCTGTTGGATAGCTTAGGTTAAATAAATCAAGTCGATTTTCATTCCACTGATCGACCAGCTGCCATAGTTGTTCTCGCTCAGCTTGCTTGGTCACCGGTAGCCTGCTTAGCATGGTCGAGCTATCCAGAATATGCTCCTTCTTCCCCGAAACTGAAATTTTTTTCCGGAATTAATTAATATATCCAAGAAACGTACAATTTACTCAACTTCAAAAAACTCACAAAAATAAAACAAAAGCTGGGAATCATTGAAAGGACAAGATTGATCTCAAATTTGAAATGAACTGAAAACAAAAACCTCGAATTGGAAAAACTAATTTAGACTTTGTTTTGTTTCCAAAATCTACAGAACAAAATATTAGAAGGAATTTCAATTTATTTTAAATTGCGAAATTTGACTTTGAAGTGAAAATTAACTGAAAATAAAAGATATGGATGAAATAAATTACTGAAAACTTTCAATCAATTCCAAAGAAATAATAATGCCGTGATTAAAATTCCCCTGGAAATGAAAAAAAGAACTCATAATACCAAATATCATTTTATATATCATTTACTAAATATCATTTAATATCATTTACTTAAAATATCATTTTAAGTAATCAGAAAATTATTTTTTAATAATAAAAACAAAAAATAGCGATGTTCGAATTGGGATGTTCACTGCATAATCTGATATTCCTTTCCTAAATACTACATTTAAAATGCCAAAAATAAACAAAAGAGAGGAAAATCATTGATGACAATGATAATTAATTGACAGCTATATAAGCTAAAATTATTCTGCTAAATACGAAAGCGAAACAAATAATAGTAATGGTAGTGAAATGATCATTTGACTATCTGAAACTATCTAAGAGGTATCATCAAATCAATGTCAGCAATAAAGTGAAGTCACAAAAATCACATTATTCAAAGGTCACATGCAAAGGTCATCCAAATCAATGTCAACAATCTCCAGATCACCATTGAACTGCTCCATTCACAGCCATTCCCTCACCCCTTCCCACTATAAGCCCATGGATAAATGAAAGAAAGGACAAAGTGACCCTCGACTTTCGTGCCAATCTTATCTGATTTCATCTTTCAATACGCCACCATGTGGTCCGTTAAAATATGACTGGAATTAAAGCTTACGGAAATGCATCAGAGGATTATTTTGATGGCTGAACTACTTCCAGTCACTGTTTCATCAGATGTCAACATTTTCTTATCAATCTTTATCCTCTCTTCAACCACTCATTATGCTTTACACTATATTGTTATTATTTTTTGAATTTATAATTACTGAAGTCTTTGTTTTATATTTTATTTGATTTGATTCTTTAACTTATATTATTTAAAATTTGTGCAACCTTTAATTCTTTTTAGCTATTCGATCCTTTATTTACTTGCAATTTATAATTAAAATTTTTATTTATTCTATATTTTGAGGCAAATAATTCATTTCGAAATTAAAAAGGTCACAAATAGAAGAATTATCGAATTTTAATCATTTCAAATCCAAATTCAGATTCTAATCGATCATTGTTTCATCTTTTTATACCGCGAGTTGACGTGATGCGTTTTTCGAGAAGATAAGATGATGTACGATTAGCACAATCAGTTATGCTTGCATAAGAAAATGGATGGCATTTAAGAGTTTGAAATTATCTTGATTATTTTCAGAGAAGATTCTTTATCTGTTTTGGTAATTGTACAAGAAATTCTTGGTAAATCCGAAAATGTTTTGACAGTGTAAGGCAAAAATATTATACTTCTGTGTTACTGATTTCTGTCATTATAGAATTGTAACAATGACTTATGTTTCAGATGAAAATAAAATTTTATGGTTTAAAAAATAATCTAGCAGAGTGGAATGACAACCGACAACAATTCAGAAGAAATTCGTTATGTGATAATTGATGAAAATCCGGAAAATGGAACATCCGACAGCTTTTCATTTACAGTATCCGGATCGGCAGTCTATCATCAAAATTTGTTATCACCACAACAACATCATTCTCACCTTCAGCAACAGCAACAACAAATGCTTAAATACGATTGTGCCCTTCAAAATGGTTAATTGCTTACTTGCTTCTTAATATTATTATTCTAGAAAAGGATGAAATTTTATTATTTTTACAAATCATCCCTAACGAGATTTTTTAATTATACCGTTAATCTTTAATGGCGTTTATAACTGGTGGAGTGGATTAAAAAAAGCAGTTAGAGGTTATCAAATTCTCTTGGGAGTGATAACACTTGCTCATATCTATGAGATACTGGCACAAAATGCCTGCGTGCCAGATATAAAACTTCAGGAGAGCTGTACCTGAAATCAAGTTTCGCTCTTTGTACTTGCAGCACCCTGATTATTGCAATTAATTATACATTCAAATTAACTGAGTCGAGCTGTTTCGGATAAGCTAAAGAAACTTTTTAATTATTAAACAGCATTTTCATGTTTTGTTTGTTTACTTGTTAACTGTTTGTTTACTTAAAATTAATTGTTAAAATATGTTTCATTCAAATATATTTTATTCAAGAATCGTCAGCTTCAACATGGGTGGATAATTCATTCAGTATGCCCGTTTCGAATAATGTGAGTTCAGAAACATGTTTAAACCTACTTGTATATCATAAGTTTTCAAGACAGTGCAATCGATTTTTTTTCTTCTAATTTTTAGAAAACTTCCGTAGAAAAATTGAATTGATTCATCTTATATTAAGAATGGTTCAACAAATATCGAAAGTTTCAGAGAATTCTGTGAATTAAGTGAAATCTGTCATTAATTTTTGTATAGCAATTCCATGCATTGTTTTCGATCTAATACTGAGCACTAAAATAAATCATGAATTGGAATTCTGGGAATAGCTGGTTTTCCAACGCAGTAGTCTGTTGATAATACGGTTATGTTCCGATAATTATCTAGCTAAAGCATATTCACTGTATCAAATCATTGTGTTCAGTTAATCAGGTTATCACTCTATAATAATATTTTTTTTTGTTCTGAATAAGGTATGACTACTTGCAGACACACTATTTGGCACGATGTAGCGTTTGTGATGCTCTTTTCGATCTGGAGGAATATCTGAACCATACTAAAAATTGTCGATTAGAAAAGTGTTATAAGTATGTTTATGTTTATTTCCTTAGAATTCATTTTTCAACGAATCTTTCTTCAAATATGATGAGAAATAGTGAAATATGTCTCACCTGAAAAAAATTTAGATTATTCCATTAAAATTGCACACAACTTATGCCAGTAATAAATAAATTAAACAATTATTTCAATTCATTACAAATTGCTAATTTAAGTAAATTTAGATGTGAGGTATGCGGTAAAGAATATAACAAGGAGCATAATTTAAAGCTACACCACCTTGGACAGCATGATAAAGCAGTGGTTGAAAATGATAAGTATGTATGTTCCTTCTGTCCAAAAAAGTATGCTAGATTAGCTGCCTATTATGCTCATCTTCAAATCCATGGCCTAAACGATTCGCTCATATGTACATTTTGTAAAGAAGAATTTGATTTTCAGGTTTGTTGTCAATTTAATTCAGGTAGAATAGTCTTTTGAAAAATTTCACTTTGGTGGCCTCATTTGGGTTGAAAATTGATTAGGATTAAGGAACAAATTATTACGTATATTTATATGTATGGAATTTCATATGACTAAAAATCCTAAAATATCAAAAAATTGACTTTCATATTTGGTCTGGTCAATGCTAGAAGAGACCTAGTCGAATGTCAAACTATCTCACAAGATCCTGGTCATGGCTAACTTTACTCCTTGTGTGAGAATGCTGGGAATCTTTCGCTCCTGGTTAACTTTTATCATTTTAGGCACTTTTGAACAAACACTTACGTCTGCAACATTGCTATCCTCGCCTGGGAGATATTGCTACTGTTGAAATATGCAAGAAATGTGGTATTGCTATCTTCAGCAAAGAAGCAATGGATGAACACAAACAGATACATCGGAAAATAAAGTAATTTTTATTGGCTTTGATTGTTTTTAAGCGAAGATTTTGAGATGTAATGAGTTATTTTATTGAGTAATATCGGGAAGAAAATGCTCGATAATTTCAAATGCTCTCAAAATGGTGACATTAGTCTATAGTGGAGGAGGTAATTCTGAATGCATTAAAATTTTAATAATATCAAAAACCATTTTTAAGATCGTTCGACTTCAGCCAATAGTTGTTGTTAGGCTAGATTATTGTGATATGGGTAAAGTGAAACTTATTGATACAGTGAATATTATCAGCAGTTTTCAGTAAGACAATGAAAAGAAATAAACGGAAACGTGAATCTGATCCTGGTGATAGAACTCATAAATGTGAAGCATGTGGCAAAACTTTTAAAAAGAAGTTTGAATTGATGCGACATTATGTTGTCCATACAAGTAAGCTTTTTTGAGTTTGTTTAACTCTTTAAATTTAAATAATCTATTTCTCTTTGAATTTCTAAAGTTTATTAGAATTCACCTGAAAATTCACTACATATGTCTTATCATGGAGGTGAAGTTATCAATGCAGTTGCAAAAGATGGCATGAAGATTACGACGGATCTTCCTCAATTTTTAAAAATGAATATTATTCTTAGTTCATGAATGGACTCTGTGCTGTTAGAGTAACGTCATCGATAGTATCGTGATAGTGTTGGGAAGAGCTGAAGTGAGCACAGAGTTTATTCAGAGTTTATCTTAGTAGATATTCATATTCCTCTAATTATGTATTATATGTAATTCCGCGTCATATCTCAGAAGAACGTCGTTTTGTTTGTGAAATTTGTGGAAAGCGGTTCTCCCAAAAAGCTTCGCTGGGACAGCATACGCTGACTCATAACGCATCTACTGCACAAACTCATAAATGTTCGCTTTGTGATGCAACCTTCTCACAAGTAAGCTTTTTAGAAAAGAAAACTATCAAGTGGGTTGGATCTCTTTAAACGAAAAGTAATATGTTTAAGAAAATATATAGTTCCTTTAGAAAAAAAATTTTCTGGCGTTGTTCAGCTTTCAATCTTGTGATCGATTAAGAAAGGAATTGATGTTTACGTTTGATTTGAAGTGATTTTCTTTTTTTTGCAGTTCTCTTTATGAGTAATAATTCTTAATTATATTTCTGATTTTATTTATTCCTTATATTCTAATTTCAATATTTTTGATTACTAAACTTCTACGGTTTATCATTTTTTGATAAGTTTTTAAATATATTTGTGCCTTAATTTTCCACAATTTTAATTTATTGAATTAGTGAATTAGAAAAAAAAAGTTCCTCATCTAATAGATTCTTCAAGTAGCTCAATTTAAATTTCTCTAGGATAATGTCCATCTTAAATTAATTGTTACCAGATTTATTCTGGAAACAATCTAAAAATTGCCTGATTTCTAAATGAGGGTTTTTTGATTTTTGCAGGCTGGGAATTTGCGTCGTCATGTTAAACTTTTACATCCTCCAGATGTCACATCACGTCCAGTTTTTCGATGTCTCAAATGTACTTGTGTATTCAATTCATTGCAGCCATTACAAGTGCATGCTCGAAAACGGCATCCAGAGCAAGGTTTGATGAATTCATCTAAATTGATTGGAATTATTCAAACATTTTGAATTCAGAAGCAATTTTTTTGTATTTTTATGTTGAAGGTGCGTAGCTACGTATACTTCTTAACTTTGCACTTAGCTTACTGTGTTTGAAGTTTTCAGTTAGGATTGTTTTTTTCAGTAGCTTCGAAAAATTCTACGATCGCTGAAGAAGGAACTGCTAGTCCACAGGTACGTAGAATTCTCATAAATTTTGAATTAAAAAGAGATGGTTGGTTGCATCTTTCTCGAAAAATGCTGTTACCATTCTATTATTCGAGTTTTTTAAGTGAAAATGAAGTTAATGTGCGGTTTGTTTGCTTTTTAGTTTTCTTTACATCAATATTGTGATTAATTTTTTGTTTGTTCTTTTAAAATGCTTTCAGTATTGATCTTCTGCTGCAAATTATAAATTATAGATTTCTATACATGCAATTTTAAACTTTGTCATGAATACACTATTTTTGCTGAATAATTTGAAAAAGAAAGTTTCAGAAACAAAACAAAGGACGTAAATTTTGTTGCTGTTTGTGTAGGAAAGCTTTCGGCAAAACATCCGATTTGGTTCGACATTATCGAGTACATAGTGGTGAACGACCATTTTCATGTAATCGATGTGGCCGAGACTTTAATTTGAAGTCTTCATTAAAGTTGCATATGGATAGTCATGTCCGCGCTGACCATCCTGATAATTACTACACATGTGCAAGGTGTCCTGTCTGCATGAAACAGGTAAACGCGCGTTTCCTGTACCATGAAAGTTTTCGAAGATTTAGAGTTTTAGAATTGTAAGAAGTGAAATATTAAGAGAAATGAACTGAAATTTCAGTTAGCATCAGCACCATCATTGCGTCGCCACCTCAAAATCCATGAAAGACCGTTGGAACATTGTGGAGTATGTTCGCAAGTAAGTTCGTTTTCTATTATTTTGTTCTAATTTTCCTCTACAGCGATATATTATGGTGTGGTACGTTAAGATATTTTTTTTTCGTCAGTCGTTCTCTCGTAGAATTATTGCACGAACGTGCATTACATTACTATTTTATGTGCATTCTACGTGTGTTGTACGTATGAATATAGATTCTGAATTTTTAGATTTTCCTGAGTAAAAAAGCATTGGAGCAGCATCAAATAGCCTGTTTAACATCAAATGCTGAAGTTGGTTCGTCTGGAAGTTTACTAGAACTTTTGCCACCCACTGAAATTGCCTCTGTAAATACTGAGCCAGAACGGAAACCTTACAAATGTCGCACATGTACGGCATCATTTTCAACACTTCGCTGTTTGAAGGAGCATATTAATCGACATACGGGGATTAAACCGCATATATGCCGATTATGCTATAAGTCATTTTACTCTTTAGGTGCGTAACTTTATAAAGTTCAGCATTACTTTCCAGGAAAGTTATTTTTGAAAAGTTACTTTAAATCAGATATACTGTTTAATTTATGCATCCTATATTGCTTCCTGTTTGCCGAGTATGAGAAAAATTTGATTTGTATGAATATAAACACTTCAAATATTAGCTAAGGACTAGTGAAGTTAAAACTAATCCGATATTTGATTGTGTAAGCGTGAAGACATCCTCATGGCAATGTTCAATATTTCTACATTTATATGCTTACCTATCCATTCGAAGGTTACTTCTTAATTCAAAAGTAAAATTAATCGTTTTTTAGCCCAGTTAAAATGTCACAGCGCGATACATACCAATAAGCGACCATTTAAATGTTTAACTTGCAACCAATCATTCAGGCGCCGTTCTCAACTAAAAGCACATGCAAGCAAACACCCACGGCCCAGCAGCTTGATGAATTTTGTTAGTTACTACTGCTTTTGATACACTTGACTTAATCGAAGTCTGTCACCAATGTTAACCATTTTTTGATTACTGATTTAGTGCGAGTTGTTTTTGATTTTAAAATTGTTTGGTAGATTAAGTTTTTATCTCTCGCATCGAAAAAGGTACTGAGCGCAACATCCATTGCGCTAGATGTCAACTTCAATTGGCAGTAGTAAACTGGCTTCAAGCACAGTTAAACAACTGAGTTTTTGGCAAGGTAATATCTCTTCATCATAAATGTAAAATATCCTGTTTGTTAGACAGTCGGAATTAAGTAAAATAAATATTCTAATGAGTCATTGATTATTTTCATTTTGCGCTGTTAAAGTGATTATTTCAGGAATCTCTATCATGGTCACCTGATAATTTATTTACTAAAAGTGTGCAGGTTGATAATGCTCACTTTAGTGAAAATGACCTTACCAACTTCGACTTTTCGTCTTTGGATGATGATTCAAGAGAGTTAAATATTGATAATTCAGCTGAGGTAACTAAAGAATAGCTTTTTCATTCTAAGTTTGTACTTGGTTCCATGCAATAGTTTTATCAAAAGTATCTAACTCAAGACTTACGTCCCGTGCAGCGTCCAAAATATAGGATGCATATTCTGACAGTAGTAGAGAATATTATCCCAATAAAAATTGAATGATAAACAAATTAAAGCATAGGATTTGCAAAGATTTCAATGGCTTCAAGTTTTATTTCCTTGCTTTTTCAGACATCGTATTTGAGTAGTTGTTTAATATCACAGGATTGCGATTTAATAAATGGTTTGGCAGTTGAAAAATCTCAAGAGACCCGTTGTCCAGTGTGCTTTTTTAGTTTCAGTTCAGGTATATTTATCAAATTTTCATATTTATTGTTTAATTTTTCGTTGAAGTAATAAAGTAATTTTTTTTTCGTAAAAGTAGGAGTAATAAGGAATTCACGGTGGTTTGCAGATGCTACATTATCAACTCATTTGTACAATATGACTTCCGATCCGCTACACAGTCTTCCTATCCTATCATGTAATCATTGCTCAAAAACCTTTTCCGGATGTATTGGTCTTGCTGATCATTTGCAAGCATTTCATCGTGCAGTAAGTTTTTTGTATGTAAATTATCTAACATTTTTGCGAAAATTGACTGAAAAAGCATGGAAAGTATGAAACAAATAGAGAAGATTTAACAGTCCGCTAGTCAATTAAGAAATGAAACAATTTGAACTGTTAATAGCTTAACAAAAAGGCAAACGATTGGTGGATGGCATCGTTTACTTCTCACCTAACTTGCAATTGCTTACTATGTGTTGAAGACAAGCTCTTTGCTCATAAAAATCGATATTGGTGTTTGTCTAATTTTGAAATTATTTGATAAGAGAAATTCTCTGCTTTTCTGAAGTGATTTTTTGCTTCTTTCTGGTACAATTGGAAATGGAGAAAAAATTTCTAATTAATTGTATTAAAATTAACATTTAAAACGGTATTATTTGCAGAATCAGCATGAAGAACGAAGTTTTACCTGTGATGCAAATTTCTTATTGAAAGAAGACCAGGTTTGTATGTTTCTGGTTTTAGCAGTAATCAATTTCTTCTTGACTTCTCGGTTTATTAATTAGATTCTTTGGTTTTATTGTCATTGTCACTAAATTAGCATTTTTCAATAATATATTTTTGAAAATATTGATGAGTGTTGTATTTGAAACAGTTAACTACAGACGAATCTGCATTCAGTGAATTAAAACGGCGTGAAAGAAAAAATTAAAAACGATAAAATTATCGTGTGTTTTGCAGAAAATCTATAAGCATCGATTGACTCATTGATTAAGACAATGTGCGCCATTTGACTAAGAAAATGAGAAGATGAAATAAAAGAAAAATGTCAACCGTTTTCATGTAGATTAAATAAGTTCAGATGATTTCGTAGCTGCCTTAAGATGCTCTACTTTAATTTTTCTTCAGCGATCGCATGTATGTGATGTATGCGATCGGCGATTCAAAAAACCATCAGATTTGCTGCGGCATAAGAGAATCCACACAGGTAATTTCGATCATTAATTTAATTTTTGGAAATGAGGTAGTTGCAGTTCTTTCAGGAAGGAATTTTTTTTTCAAATTTTTGTTTTAGGTGAGAAACCCTTTTCATGTGGAATATGTGAACGGTCGTTCCGTGTTAAGTCGACTTTATATCAACACTTGAAAATACACGAGGATTTGGGTAATGCCCGTGAAATGTGTTCACTATGTAAGCGATGCTATTGTTCTCTGTCAGCTTTACGACAGCATCTGTATTTAGCTCATGCGGAGGAGAAATCTTTCAAATGTACGGATGAAATATGCAGCGAACGATTTAAGTAAGTTCATTGCGGTTATTGCTTTTGAAGAAATTGAGAAATTTTCCTTAAGTTTTTTAACTTTCATTAGTAGTCCATAAGATGAACTCAATGCTTGCATTACAGGACTGCCCGTAGCCGCGATGCACACGTGAGACAATTCCATTCGTACGTAGCTGTTGATGATATTGGTGACGTTACGCCTTCGCTTGCCATCAATGAGCAATTTCAAGCAACTGCGTTACAGCTGGCGCCTGATCCTAAAAATGCGGGATTTGTGCAGCCTTCTTTTAATTCTGCTTTTTCATGTATTGTGAGCAAGGTTTGTTGGATGAAAATGTTTTTTTTTGCTTGTAAAAATCTTCAAAGTAAATAATAGGAGTACTTTCGTTCTAGGACGTCAATAGTACAGCAACGCATCTTGTATTAAAAGTGCAACCACATCTGAATCCACAAACTGTAGAAGTGACAGTTAATGAAATTTCGTAAGTTTCCGATTGTATGAATATTTTTTACTCGTTAAGCTTTTCGCAAATTTCATCAGTTCACGTTATAATCTGTTATTCAAAAATACCTGTATGCTTGTAAAATCTATCACTTAATTATTTTCAGACTATTAATTTCAACGGAAGCCAAATTTTTATGTTTGTTAATAAGTTATATCAGTTCTCTGTGTTCTAATTACAGTGTTAGCGATGTGAATGAAATAAATAACTGTGGTGCAATTGTGATTCCGATGCAGATGTTGCGCTCATTGTCACCGGATGGTGTAATGCTTCGAATCGCTATTTCTTATCCATTCTTGAATGCTGGTTCATTTATTATTGTCGACTCTCGGCGCATGTTTACTTTTTTGTCGCGAAAAGAAGTAAACTATTTTCTGAAATTCAAATTTTATATGAAACCATAAGCAATTTACCGAAGGTTGAATATTAAATAAAGCTACCTGAACTGATAGTGTAAAGATTTCAATAAGAAGTCGAAATACTACATAGTTAAGTGATTGTTGATCGACTTTTCATTTTTTGTTTCAACTTCCTTATCGTCGATCACTTGTTTGCATTATTAAATGGTTATGGTTGTAATTAGTTAATTTTATCATCAATATATCCATTACAGACGGACACTATAATGGTACCGGTGAATGCATCCGTTGAACTTACCAATTTACCATTAAGTTTATATACAAGTGCGGAAGATTTCGACTCTTTGACGCAACCACCGACATTCATCTCGAATTGTGTCATTTGTGACGAAAGTTTCTCTAGTCAAGAAGAAAGTGATGCACATTTCAGTAGTGAAGATCATGAAACAGCTCAGGTAACTGCTACGCATTATGGTATCAGGAAGTAATTTCAAGCTGCGATAGTTTACTGCTTAAATTCAAAAGTGCTTAACTGACTTTATTTTCTTTTTTTATTTTAGTTTTTTTCGCTTCCTCAATTAACGCGCCATTTGGATGGAGTAACAACAACAGTAAATAATGATCATTTTCAGTCGTTCATGTAAGTTGTTTTGTGTCTGTTGAATATTAGCATTTAAAAATTAATCCTAATGTTAGAGTTTAAGTTGGTATTAGGATTTCCATTATTTTTCAAAAAATAGTATTTTGTTGTAAATGGTTTTCCTTGAGCATGCTGACGCATGGGAGGTTTTGGCTAGTCTCTATATCTCTATAGAGAATTTTCAGGACGGGAATGGAAGTGTGTAAGCTTTGTTTGGAGCAATTCCAAGATCGAGAATGTCTACTCGCACATATTCGTCGGGAACATGAACGAGACAGTATTGATTTGCTTGATCGCAATGATTTGTTAATTTGGCGTCGTACTTTAAATTAATTAGAGATTTTTACTGTACATGTCTTTTTTTTCAGTTTGGTATCAATTGCTTCATTGCTTAAATTATTTATATATTTTTCTATAATTACATTTCATTGAATAGATCCAAATCTGTATGCATAAAGCTCAGAAAGCTCCAATTCCTAGGTATTTGGCTGTTGTTTTCTTAACAAATAGGAAAAATAGCATCATTGCTGTAATTTTATCATTTGATCCATATGCTTAGTGGATCTTGCAACGCTCTGTCCTAACTGTACATTTTTCTGGTGAGCAATAATATTGTTTTGATTCGTTATTTTTCTAAATGCTATGAATAAATAATTTATTTTGAAATGTTTTTTTTGTTCATACGTTGTTAATATGTGTTTAACCAAATTACTGAATTTTATTAAAATTGATTTTCAATTCATTTTCAATGTATATCATTGTGTGACATTGTGAAATGTGATCAATAGAGTAATCAGTGCTTTTTTTACCAGGTAATACATTGTCGATTGTTAACTATTTCAGGATGAATTCCGATATGGAGTGTTCAAAAATGTGTTTTATTCGATTCAAAAATTATGTTGTTTCAAATACATCACTACGGAAGTACTGCGAATTTTATTCAAATTACTGTATAAATCTAGTTTTTATGGTATATATTTTTCAGATAATTTTATCCTTAAATGGTTTCAAAGAGCATGTTAAAATATTGATCAAATCCACCAATACTAACCATTGAGTAAAGGTTACTCAGATAACAGGACTCTTTGAAACCATTTAAATTTTAATAAATATTCTAAACTCACTCTGAAAGATTGATATAAATGTGAAATGTATAGCGGATTTCAGAAAGATTTCGAAAAGCTACCACTTGTGGGTTTTTCGATTTGTTCCGGCACCGAAATCGTTAGAGAAAAATTGCATCCCAGTAATACAGTGGCCTTCAAGAGTTGGGATTTACCGGAAATGCCATTATGGGCTAAGAATACGGTGGAAACAGGTACATAAAGCGAACTTTTATCTTTCAGAATTTATTTTGTAATTATTCTATTGATCATGATTTTTTGTGATGGAATTGTTTCAGATGATTATCTCCGAATACTTTTACGATTCGAAAAGAGACGCTTGGGTGTCTGTTTTCGTCTCAATTCATTGCCACCATCGTGTTGCGTCTATTTTGATTACCTTCCCAATCATCCTATGGAAGAATTGTATTTGGCACTGGCAAACCGTGAAATGTTTAATGAAAAGGTAGAAGGAATTAGTTTTATAGATTGGAACTTATCGATTATTATTTAAATTCATCAATTCAATCAGTAGTTTCTTGGTTTTAATATTGCATGCATGATTTATGTTTTTTTTTTCAAAATTTATTGAAGGCAATGGGAATATGTAGCTAGTAGTGTTCTGATTTTTAAAGAGTCAAAAACTACATGAAAAGTTTAAAGTAACCGCAGCGGATTTTTGAATAAAGAAGGAAGACTTTTCAAATGTCCCTTTGAATTAGAAATTGTCTTCAGAAATATTATTTAAATGGCGTTATATACTTTGCACTGAAGGCCATATAACTTAATGATCCAGGATAATTCCGAATAAATGAGCATAAGGTTATTGTCCAAGTATGTTTCCTTGTATTTTTATTACTTATCATTGTTTTATTTGGCAGGGCATACCTCTTATTTCAATTTTAAATCCTTTTGAAATGTTTACTTGGAGAGCGCAAAAGAAACAGAAAGCGGTCGACAACAAAAAACGGGAAGCTAAGCCGTTGGTTGAAATTGCAACGTCTACGTCCAACAAAGTATTTTATTTATTTTTTAATATTTCATTGAGTACTTTTTGAAACTTGGACTTTTGCTTCATAGGAGTTTATTGTGAAAAACATAATAAAGTTTTAATTCACAACTGCTCCATTCTGTTGCATTTACACAATTTCTCAATTTCTTCAAAATTTGGTATGACTTTTTTAATATGTTATGAAATTGGAAATAATTGGGCGTATCATTGAGCTGAGTTTACATTCTCGAGGAAGCGCTGCTGCGTTGAAAAGCAAAACTGGTTGTTCAACAAATGACTGGATATTTTAATAAATAGCACTATGGGGCTTTTTTTTCTGATGATTCTCACTATTAAAAAACGAAAAAATTCTCTTATAATATATATTAGTTGATTTGTTTTTATCTTCTCCGGAACTTTCATCTCTCTGTATACATTATAGGCCACAACACCGACATGTACATTTTGCTGGGAACGACCCATCGATATGCTTCTAATGCCGTGCAATCATGCAGTATGTTGTAAAGATTGCAAGGATAATTACATAAGCTATCAACGACAACGAAATAAAGCAAAAAATATGTCAATGGAAGTTGCATGCCCAGTTTGTCGGGAAAAAAGTTCATTTTTTTATATATTTGTTGAAGGCATAATTTGTAGATTATTCTTTCAGTTCTTAAGTTCAAAAATACTTGGATTTATTCGTTATGTTCACGTTAACCAAATGCTGAAATTAGTTCAGAATTAAAATGTTAACAACAAAACGATCATAAAATAAAAGAAATTGGTAGCAAAACGAATCACAGAAATGAGACAACACTTGGGAATGGCAAAATTTTAAATTCCTCATTATTATCATCATTGTCTTGTTGGACCAAATATTAAATCTTTCTTATTTTGCTCACAATTAAAAAAGAGAAATTTTCGGAGTAGTGCGATTTCCAGTACATCATTGTATTAGATTTTTGAAACTAGTCATTATACATTTGAATTGGCTTAACTAATTAGGTGAGCTGATCAGATTCAAATTATGGGTAGTGAACTTACAGGAGATTTGATAAGTTTAGTAAAGAAAAGTAGTTTCCTTTTCAGTTGAAAATATTGCACAAATTTGGTTTCCCAAAATCTACCGTTGTTTGCTGTGTACAAATAATTGTGATACGATGTCAGCAGTTGCTGGTGGTAAAGGTGGTTGTGGTTGTGTTATTGGATGTTATGAGAAAGCACGGAAATTATGTGATGATGGTGGTTCTTGTCCTCATTGTGACAAACAGCTTATCGATGTATTGCAAATTTTCATTCAAGGTGATCGGGATTGATGCTGAAGAAGGATTTCGTTTTGGTTACTGTTAGGGTTATTGTTAAATGATTAGAAAGCTTATATAGACTGTAACATGTTCACTTGAAAAGAATGCATTCTCAAATCGTTACGACAATGGGAAAAGGTGAAAAATATTGGGAAGTATTCTAAAAGTTCGCTTAGTTAAAGTATAATTAAAAATTGAAATTACAATTCTGATGAATTATATTAACAATAGTAAAGTCAGTTAGCATTATTTCAGTTAGAAGTCAGTTAGGATCAGTTAGCATTATTTTTCTTTCAAAAATGCTCTAGTTTCATGACGAAACATCAAATTTCATAGTAAATGTATTCTATAGAACTTGTGATTTTTATCTTCACCCTTCTCTCTCATGATCTAAGAATTTCTAAGGGAATTTGACAATATACCTTCCAGTTCTTTTATGATACTATAGCCTACTGTTTTTTCTTACTGTTTTATATGTGCTGTCTCAAAAGATAAGAAGAGCTTTCGATAAATGTTGTGTTGATTATATTTTTTTTTCGGTTGAAATGTGTGTCACTGTGATTATCGTTTTATTGTCTTTTGTATATATCTACATGGTTAATTTGTAATCATTTCATGGATTCCAAAGATATATTAAAAATTTTAATGCATGGCACTTGTATCCATCCAATTACTAACCCATTTCTAATCTGGCTTTAAGCTTTTGAAATACAGCAAATTTCATTTAAATTGACTTGAATAAATTTTCTAACTCAAGTTATGATTTTAAATTTTGAAAAAAAAAAATGTGAAATAAGTCGGAGCTGCAGCTTAGTTCACTTAGTTTCAGTTTCAATTCGTTATTATTATGAAAAGAAGCATATATATATATAAAGGAGAGTTACAAAGATCTGTTTGAAAATCTTCGCACATAATCATCAGACAATGATGATGAGCCCATATTATAAGATATAAGGCGGAGAAGTTCACATTCAAGCATTGATTGTATGATAAAGAGAGCTGTCAGGAAAAGTAATTACTGTTCATCGAGTCTAACCACTGCAAAATTTCGGATTCGTGATGAATTTGAATGCTGTTTTAATTGGCAAAAAAATTATCTCTCTCTGTCTGCATTTTTTATTTTATTATAACTATTCTCAGGTGAAACATTTTATTATAACTACTCTGAGATGAAATATCAAGGGAAACATAGTACATATACCATGGGTACCCCATGGGAAACATAGCTGTTCTTCAGATCATTCCGTTTATACCTGATCACTACTCGTGATTTAATATGAACGCTTTTTTGTCTTTTCGGACAATCATTGCATCTCATATTCAGCATTGTCATGGATAACCATTTCGTTTGTCGAATTGAAATTTTAGAGAACTGAATAATAATGATAATGATCTATTACTGTTATTAATTATTACATCACTGTTCTTACTATTAATATCATTAATTGCCACTAATAATAATAATAAATGAATGGTAATATCATCATTATTATTATTGTTATTGTTATTACTAGTTATTCTTATTTTTGTTCTTACTGTGCTACTATTATTATTATTATTGTTGTTGCTATTATTGTTATTAATTATTATTGTTTTTATTACTTCATTATTATTATTGCTCTTTTTGTTATTATTGTTGTCAATTATTGTTATTATTATTCTTATAGTTGTTGTTGTTATTGCTGTTGTTATTGTTTTGTTGTTTTATTGTTATATATCATGATTGCCGTTGTTGTTATTATTGTTGTTGTTGTTATTGTTGTAAGTTGACAGTTTTGAAATCTGTTGTCACAAATCATATCGATTGCTTATTGAAAAATTATATATATGTGTCCCTAACTTCAAGTTTAAATTTGTACCTAAGAAATTTTAGTTTTAGTCGATTCATAAATAAATCAGGTTTTTATTCAATCAAGTAAAGAGAGAAAGAGAGAAATAGAAGGTAGAGGGAGAGGAAAAAGTTCATAAAAAAAAGGAAGAGAAAAACACAAATAAAGAATAAACGTTCAAACGAAATTACCTTATATTTCTTCTTATAATATGATAACAATTTGCAAAAGAGAAATCATAAATACCATTCCAAAAATAATATTTCAATTAATTATAAAATTTAAAATAAAATCGCGACGAAATAGCATCAATGATATGTTCCCAATAAAAGCAGAGAAATATATATATAAAGAAATAAAGAAATATTTTAAAAGAAGGAAATACAAGAAGAAAAAGTAAATACTCTAAATTTCCCAAAATAATATAAAAGGAATTAAATTCAATATACAAATACCTTATAAATAAAATAATTAATAGCAATTAAGAAATTATTAATAGCGAATAATTAATCATCTAAATAGATACAATGAAAAAAGATAAACTAATAGTATTAAAGAGAAAACAAAATAAAAACTAAACAAGGATGGAAGGAAAATATTTGTAATTAAAATAGAAGATTGAGTTTGTTTGTTTGTTTGTTCTTTTAAGTTTTTTAAAAACTGAAATTGATTTCATTACTTTTTATTGATTACTATTTATCATTTTGATAATGATAGTTTAAAAGACATAAATGGTTTGAGAATATATTTGATATTATAATGTAATTCATACTTTCTTCATATATCGTGTAACATATTGAGTTATTAATTTAAATGTAGAATAAATATTTCAATCAAATATTCGTCTTTCTATTAAAATAGGTAAACAATGACAGAAATAATACTATAATAATTAACCAAAACATATACACATTGATCGCTTAATTAAAATAAAGAAAAAGGAAATCACTTTGATCACTTTCTACCAGAATTCATTATTCCTTCCTAATTAACAAAATCACTTCAAAAGTCTCTCATCTACTTGCTTCTCTAATCTTTACTATTCCTATGAATTCTTATACCTGTTCAAATTTCATCTTTATTCTTTCCAAATGAAAATGATTATTCATTTAACTCAAATTACATATAGGCTAATCATATCTTATCAGTAATTTGAAATTTGTAACAATTAATTTCAATAAATTCTTCATAAATTTCCAAAATCGATTTAACATAAAATATACAAATTATAATCAGTTAATGTTTATTACGAATTTTCACAATATCAAAAATTAAAGCTTGAATTATGAAAATTTTATATGAAATATAATAAAGCATCCCGCGAATGCTCGGTAATTCCATTACTGTAATATTCATTATTGATTTAAGTGATTCATTCCCGGAAAAGTTGATTTTGGTGGTAGAAATGCGCCACTGTGAGCTTTCAAATCATCGCTCCTGAAATAATCATTCAATGCTTTCTCTCTCTCTTTTTTTATTATTAGATATCGTAATATCATATAAAAATCTGCAAGCTGTCGGAAATGTTATTCTTAAATGGTTAACAAATGTCTGAAGCGCATCTGTCATATGTCAAAAATTGGATGACATCAATTGAAGAGAGAGATGATAGGTTGGTTTGAATTATTCCTTTGTCATATCTACATCTGCTACATTTTTATCCTTTTGTACGAATGAATAATACTATATTCTATAATATTGGTAGGCGGAAAATGCGTTGGATAGATTACATGAATAATTATTATTTAAATTAAGCGGGCTCAACTATACAAATACTACGAATGTATATGTCTACAATTAACTATACATTGTTAGAAATACAAATAGATATTTATTAAAATGTAAAATTAAATTCTTAATGAAACAAATTTAAATATTAACATATCTTCGGAAATATATAATTAAATTATTATAAATTAAGAAGGTATATTTAGTATAATTAATTGAGTGAAATTTCATTTAATTACTTTGTTAAAAGAAGGATATTATAGAATTTAGAAAAATTAAGCAGTAATTCAAATTTTTAAACTTTGAAAATATTAAAAGCGAAAAGATTTAAAATGCATTTAGCTTTTGGATTTTTGTTTTATACTTACCTTTATACTGTTTATAATTATAGCAATTACAATATCGAAAAGTATTATGAAATTTAGCTTTTGGATTTTCAAAAAGTATTATGAAATTTAGCTTTAGAAACTGAACATGTAGTAATTAGAAATGGCTTACATATACAAGTTAAAGTAGTAAAAACATTAAGTTTGATAATTCCAGTGAATTTTAAAGCAGTAATGTTTGCAATATACTTTTTAACCTTTCAGTTTTCAATAACTAGAAGTATGAAATCTTTAAATTAGTTAATGTTAGTTAATGAGTTGGATCAATTTGCATGAAAAATTTTAAAAAATTTCGGATGAAAAATGAATTTGAATTACGAAATGAGGTAATTAATCAATTAAATAGGACAAAAGTTGAATAATAGTTACATGTACCTTATCAGTAATCAAATCAATCAGTATAGAAGGCCTACTTTCAGTAGTATATTGTATATAAATACTACGAATACTACGAATGTATACTACGAAATGTATACTTGATTTCTCTTCAAATCATTTGTAGGATTAAAATTAAGGAAGAAGAAACAAAAACTTCTTAGCTTATAAGTTGGTAAGAGAAATGTTTCAAATTTTCAAGAATGCCAGTAATTTATACTCTTTCTTCTGTTCACCTTTTCTTTGTTAGTTAATACTACCTTTATTATTTGACCTGTTTTATTTTATTCTATCCCTTTTAGAAAAAATTATGGAAATTAAATATTTGATAAATTAAAATATACCCTGCTATAGATGGTATAGTTTTCTCTTCTTCCCTCCTTTTTAGGCACGCTGCTTTCGGATTCAAATTCCTCTGACGTACCTAAAAAAAGGAACATTAAAATATTTGATATTTTTTTTAAAAAAAATTGTTTATTTTATTTATTTATTGATTTTTCTACTTGAATTTTCATGCAACATAGATGTAATCCTAATAATATATGAGGTACCTAATTAGTGATACTAGAGAGAGTATGTGATACTAGAAGGTTAATTCAGATTACCTATGGTACTATCATTGGTACTAGAAGACTGATTCGCAACAAGCATACTTTGACAGGGTAAGATAAGTTCGTTTTGTTCCTTTAATAACATTCTTTTTAAGTTCCTCTGTCGAATCTGAAGCAATAATGTCGCATTTCTCTTTTCATTTTCTTTCTTCTCTCTCTCTCTCTCTTTTTTCAAGATATCGACGTGAACAAAATAGTGAAAAATTGCTTCATCAAAAATGAATTTAAAATTCCGTTTTTTAAATTTTTGAAATATTGAGTACCATTAGATTTCTAATAGCAAAAAATGTGATCAGATGAAGTACAATAGTTTCAGGCGATCATAGAATCTACGCAAGTTATTTATTGCCAGCTTTAGTAATAATCAATCCTCTTTGTTCTCTCTCATTGGGAATTAAGGATAAAAAATAGTAAAGTAAAAAATTTCACTTAATTCCATAGGATTTGATAAGGCTGTCTACCGAAAATAATGAAAAGTCACATTAAAAAAATACCGAAATGTAATTCAATATTAAAATAGCTCTTCTCACTTACTACTGAATATGTATTATCACTGAATAATTATATAATTATTTTACTTTTTAATTAAACAAAAAAATGAAAGAAGAAAGGAAAAACGTTTGATATTTTCAGGGTAACCTGTTCTTCAAGTCCGGTAATGACAGCTACAGCTTGATGTAATACGCCTAATTTCGTTTGAGTCTTATCAGAGCCCTGTTGTAAATGCTGAGCACACATTTTGCCAAGTTCTTTGAATGCCATATTAATATCTTTTACTCGAATCCTAAAATTACATTGATATGTTTATAATGAAATAAATTAATATGAATAATGTTCACATTAAATTTGAAATTGAAACAATATCGAATGAGCAAAATTTGATACACAATTGACGAAAGTTCAAGTGTAAAATGTATAGTTGAAAACAGCTGTCATTATTAATTTATTCACCGAGGAAAAAGTTTGATAAATAAATTTCAGAAAGGTATATATTTGAATGTAACTCATAATAGAATGTGATTCCGAAAGTTTTCGCTAGACTACAATTTTGCGGAAATATTTTGCAATACAAGCCAAGATATGTGTGTAGCCAAAATCAGGCATTAAAAAACTGTCAATGTCTTAAATAATTAATGTGTGTCAAATTAATAAATGACTTTAGTCAACTTTAATTTTGATTAATTTGATTTAAAGATCCCCTTTTAATTAATGAAACATGCATGGATCATATTTGGTTATAGGGAATGACATTGTTATATAGTTGGAGGATAATAATCCAGAATAATAACATGATCAACCTGGATGATCAAAGGTCATCCGAGAAATAGTGAGAGATCATCGACGGTAACTGTTTAAAGGAATAATTTGAAATCTTTCGAAATTTATTGTAAAAAGATAGTATGTTGCTGAATCTATCATTCATCAAAAACCCAATCCCTAAAACATTTTTTACAACTTCTACCCTTTTCCGGAAAACATGAAATGGAACAGATTTATGATAAACGAATTGTAAGAACTGAAAAAAACTACAAAAGAAGTAACTTCTTTCCAACGATTGTAATTGTTAACTTCAAAGAAAAAACCTTTCACGAGCGTTGTTTGCACTACGACGATCAGCTTCACGATCATCATTTGACCTTGCATCATCATCCGAATCCAATTTTACGCTTTTTGATCGTTTCTTAGTGCTAACTCGTGGTGTAGTCATTCCGATGGTACCTAATGATGATGTAGAAGTAGCTGATGTCATCCCATTCATGCTACCAGGACCACCTAATATACCAGTATAATCGAATTGATCACGTGATACCGGTACTCCTATGCTGTTTACCAAATCTGGTCTAACAGTGGTTGGTCCGGTAACAGATGACATAGCTGAAATTTTGCTAATCTTTGCAGTTCTTTGGAAAAAAAAAGTTAATATTCAATTACTAAAAAAATTTTTAATTTTGATATTTTGATAATTTTGATAATTTTCATAAAAAAAAATTTTAATTTTAATTGTTGAAATTTCAACAACATTATCAATCATTTATAGTCCATGATATGAATATACTTAACTTTACTTTCTTTGTAAATTAAATTTTTGATAAAAAGAAAATAAACAAACAGTAAAAAGAAAAGTGATTGAAAAAAAATTCATACTATTATAAGGATCCAACGTTGGAATTAGTGGCGCAGTTGCCGCAACATTCCTCGTATCTTCAACATTTGTTACACCAGCATTCTGCAAAATTTAATGAAATGAAAATTGGAAATGTTAATTATATTGGAAATTAAGATAGTTATATGATTATCTATATTTAAGATCAATTCGTTTTTATTCTCGAAGAATGATTATGATTACAAAAAAAGGAATAAAAGGAGAAGGAGGTAAATATGAATTGATCTTCTTCATGTGTAAATGAATATGGATGATAATTTCATGTAAAATGAAGAATGATAACTGCGAAATACTATCATTCCAATCTAATCAATTCATGATTTAGATGATAAAAAATAACTGATCTTTCAGGAAATGATAATTATTATTATTCGAAAAAAATCAAAATTCAAAAAAAATTTAATATGTATAATTAAATAATGATATTTAATTATATCAATGGAAAAAAGTTAATTTTTCTATAAATGAATAATTAAACTTTTGTGGAAAAAATTGATGGAAATTATTTGGAGGAAATAAAACAATACCTGATACTTTTCTTTTTTTCATTGAAATTTCAAGAAAGTTTCAAAAATGAACAACAATATTTGAGCTATTAGAAAATAAAGCAAAACCTTTCCAATGATATATGATAAATCATTGATAAGAAGGATTGATAATTTTATGATTTGAAATAAATTTCAAATGAATCTGCCAATTCAAAATTTCTTCTTTTCTTTTTTAGCTATATTTTCGATGATTTTTCTCTCTTACCTTTTGCTCTGTTGCATTATAATTGGTTCGAATATAATATTTTTGGAGCAGTCAACAATTGTAAATCAATCATTGAATTATGAATTGATATAATTAATTTTATAATAATTGCAAGGAAATTAAATTATTGTTTTCAAACAATCGAAATGATATGAATATAATCATTATTGTGATTATGATTATCATTTATTATCATTCATTTCTAATAATCATGCATGCATATATGTTCATTATTGTGATTATGATTATCATTTATTATCATTCATTTACCATTCATTTCTAATAATCATGCATGCATATATTATCTTCGGCTAAACTGTTTTTCCGATTTTTAAAAATTCATTTTCCTTTTTTTGCACATTTTTCTATTTCCATTGCTCTAATTTCCTTTTTCATAATTTCTTTCTTTCGTTCTATAAGTCCATTCCGGATTATTCGTTCAATAAACAGTATCAGTAATAGTATTAAGCCGGAATGAAAAGGAGGAGAAATGAATGGGAAAAAGAAGAGGTATATAACAGGATGAATTTTGAAACAAAGAATGGACATCGTTGTCACAAACGATGAACAGATGTTGCGGGTTTTCCGATGGTCAATGAAAAAAGGAAAAATTGAATGAATGAGAAAGATAGAAAATTGGGAAAACAGAGATACAAGAGGTATCTTATCGTCGTTGGAAAAGGCAAAGAGTAACAATTATTCCAAAAGGTCACATCCATTCTCAACAAAATTGAAATTATAAATGCAGTAGTTAGAATTATTACAACAATGTGATATGTTTTAGGATGGCTTGAATATGGAAAAAAACAATTTTGAAAATTTTGAAATTTTGAAATTTTAAAATTTTTTGAAACAAAATTTCTAAAATAAATAAATTTAATATAAATTCTTTTACCATAATTTTCTATGAAAATTTTTTGTTTTTGATTTAATTAATAATAATTTTAGGGATTAATTAAATTTAATTTTATTTTATAACTAATATCAATGAGCAGCTATATCTTCACCGTTGTTGCTGTAGGAAATTTAAAATATTTGCTAAAAATTAAATAACGAAAATATAGTAAGCGAAATAATGATCATTTTAAAGTGATGACAAAAATGATGTTAAAAGAGACAAGCCATTTTTTGCATCTGTCATAAACATATCACCGCCATTGATATTACTTTTATTCTTTAAGGGTTATTATTATTATTATAGAAAGCTTATTTTAATTTTGAACGAAAAATTCCATTAATTTTTTTTCCAAATTCGAATAAATTTTTCCTATCAATTTTGAAATTAAAACAAAATACATTCTAGAAAGTAATATAATGTAAATAATTTTCTACTTTTTATAAGGGAAGAGGTAAAGAGAGAGAGAGAGAGAGAGAGAGATTTTTGATTATATTAGAAAAGTTAAGAATGTTACTACCACCTGCTGAATATACTATTTAACAGCTGTAAACCGATCATCTTATTTCATTTCATCTTATACCAAAAATCACGATTTGACCTTCTCCTTCAATGAAAACGTCAAAGGAGTCGTCTTTATTTACATATATTCAGATCAAATGACAAAAAAGGAATACCGCTGATTGCATGCATTACATGCATGTTGCAATAATGCAAGTAAAACTATCATAAGAAATGTTTACAATGAGATTGATGATGAAAGGAAAAATGAAATAAGGCCATGAATCGTTTCGTTTCTAAGACAAATCATTTATAATTTCCGTAAAATTCATCATATAATTTGATTGGCCTTTCATCTGATCTTTCTCTTCTACCGATTTGTCACCTCTTTAAGTGCTGCATTTTTCGCAAAAGTTTAATTCGAATAAAAGGATAGAAAAAAAGGTAAAGGCCATGATCATTTATTTCTAAGACAAAACATTTATAATATTTCCGCGAAATTTATCCTATAATTGACCTCTCTTATCTGATCTCTCCCCTCCGAATTTTTACTTCTTTAAGTGTCGTATTTTCCAGAAAAAAACAGAATTTCCAATAAAGAAAAACTAAGGGAATTTTGCACAAAAATTATAGGTAAACCTGTAATGAATGAGCGTAGAAATGAAGAGGTGCAGTAACATCCTCACGCCTCATCATATCACCTGCGCCACTCAAATATGAACTTGCTAAACTTTCCGGCATTTGTTTATCATCAGGTTGAAACTGAAATATCAAATATATTATCACAATTGAATTAAAAATGTAGCAAATGCTAATTTCTTCTTCTTCGTTGTTTTCGTTGAAAATAATATTTTATCAAAGTTTTACAACAAATTCCAAAATTTCAAATTGAATTATTGAAATTTCAAAAACAAAAGAATTTAGCTTATTTCTCGAAATTTTTTTCTTCGAAAAATGATAAAATAGCATTAATAGTTCAGGAAACTTACCGGAGGCACATATGAGGGAAAATACTGTGGATAACATGTGGCACTATGATGTGTTGAATACATTGGCGGAGGTACCATAACACCCGGATTACTATTATCATTATCGTATAACTGGAAAGAATGAAAGAAATAGATAATACAGTTCATGCTATGTTGTTTATTTACAGTTTAATATTTAATTTATTTGTAAACAAAAGCCGAATAATTGTCAAAAGATTAAGGTGATGTTATATTATATCAATTTCTGAAAAGTGGGAATAGTGGGAAAAATCCTCCGAAATTTCTGGAAAAAAAATACCATGAATTTGTAACATAATCTTTACCTTGCCAATTTCAACAACATCACCATTTGCAGGAGTTGTAGAGGCGGAAACCGGAACCGGATATGCAACAGAGGCAGTAACCGATAGGGAACGTGTATAATCATCATCGGTGGCTGAATGCATCGGTAACATAGTTCCATTATAACTAAAATGTATAAAAATGCAATATTTTAATAATTTTTCATCTTTAATAAGGAATTAGAGAAAATGTAAACAATTCGATAAATCTTTGAAAATTTCAATACAAAAAATCTAATCAAACTTCAATACCTGCCAGCCATAAATTGAGTGTACGGATTATGTTGTGGCAAATTTGAACTATTCCAGTATGCAGTAGCTGCAGCAGCATTGCTACTCATATCATGAATTGCAGTTTCATGATTTCCTGGTGCAAGCATCATTTGGGTATTATCTAACTGATAGCTATTATAGTTACCACTACTACTATCCGAATACATTGTTGTTGATTGAAGAATTGATGAGCCGGTTCCGGCTAGATTACCTTTTCCAGATTGTCCCTGAAATTAAGAATAAGGATGAAATTTTTCATCATTTTTCGTATGTTAATTTTACTTATCTTTCTTTCTTTAACACTTTTTAGAGAGAGAGGTAGAATTTTTTAACAGTGGCAGAAAATTTTCTTAAATTGAAAAATGTTGTATCGATTCGAAGTTAACGATGAAAATCGCGAAAAAAAAGGAAATGATAAATTGATAAATTAATTTCATTTTGATAAATTAATTTCAAAAATGATAAATTAATATCATTTTCATTATCAGTCCTTTAATTATTCGGAAAATATATGAAAGATGAAAAATGGAATAAATGAAAGGAATAAGTGATATCGAATAGGTGCAGAAATTATTGAATAATCTTATTATATTGATTTGATCTTCAGAATGACGACTTATAAAGGGTCAATCGAAAGGTCAAACAAAATATCATGTAATTTGCAAAATATTAAATGAACTTTTTAATTCAATTTTAAAGCAAAAAAATGAAAAGAAAAAAATGATTGAAAATTGTAGGAAGTAATTTATTCATGGAATAAATGACAAAGATGACAACGGTGTAGCTTCAAGCAAAAAGTTTTATTAAAGAAAATGATAAATCTAAATTTTGGTAAAATTTACTAATAGAGAAATTGAGATAATAAAAGAAAGAGAGGGAGAAAGAGAGAGAGAGAAGCTGTACTGGCTTGAATTTGCAGTACCGTAGGATTTAATGCTAATGATGATGTTAATGATAATGATGACATGATTGTAATTATACGAATGCAACGCCTAAAATAATCCAACTTTAATGTTTCAATTATTTTACAATGAAATAAGCTTGCACATACATAAGTAATAAGAGATGTCTATTTTATTAATTGAAACAATAGCATAGTCAAACATACATTAATATTAAGAGCTTTTTAAAATTATTTAAGTAATTCATCAGATATTTTGTAAGGTAAAGTGTAGAGAAAAAAAGTTTGTAATGTTTATGAGATCAAACGTAATTAATTGAATTAAAAGTTTTACTTAATTGAACGTCAAAAAAATAACGTTAAATTAGCAAACTTCTAAAATGATTCTCAGTAATGATTAGCTTGAATAATTATATATTTATAAAGGTATAATAGATGATACTATATACCTTTTGTAGAACTTTCCAGCATTAAATGATATTTGAGTAAAATCTTTTTTTATTAATTTTTAATTTAATAATTTTAATTATTAAAAGTTCTTAGAAATTTTTAGAAATTGAAATTACCGTAATCCTCGAGACTACAAATAGCAAGTTTGTTGTTCACACTGCGCCCAGCAAAAGGGAAAACTCTACTGGCCAGTACATGTGCCTATGTATATATGAGTGTTAGTGCGCACATGTGGATATGTATGGGGCGTGTGTGTGTATGTATATGTGTACGAATGGGTAGGTATGAGTGACGATAGCCCATATGTAATAGAGCAGCTTATCATTCCAAGTTCATATTTCCTCTTGGGTTGTGTGTTTACGTATATACGTGTGTGGGCGTGTATAGATGAATGCGTGCGTGGATGGATTCTAACATTTCTTAGAAATATGAAAATGTGAATGTTGAAAAAATATTCAACAGTATGATAATAATTAAGTAATCCTAGAACTTAAAAACTTAAATTCATAATTAATTATAATTCTAATAAATGAAAGTATACCTTTTACAATCTGACTATTTTATCTAAAGTTTGTAAAATATTTCTCTCATTTGCTAAATATTACAAATATGCAAAAGTTAGCAATATTTTTTAAAAATCCGATTGATTAAAAGAATTAATGAGTAAATTTTGAAATTAATAATAATTAGTGATAAGCTTTATCATTTATCAACTTTAATTAACACCAAACAAACAAATCATTATATATTATATCATTGGAATTCCCTCTTAACTTATAAGGAGAAGAAATTAATCATTTTATAGCAATGAATTAGTTTTACTTAGTAGAGCGGGGGAGAGAGAGAGGAATTAGTAGAGCGGGGGATAGAGAGAGGAATTAGTAGAGCGGGGGATAGAGAGAGAAATTAGTAGAGCGGGGGAGAGATATGAATTAGGCTGAAATGTTTTATTAAATAATTCATATCTCTGATTATTATCGTGTATTATCACTTAGCTGTTATTTAATCATTTTCTACGAGTAAAAATGAATTGAATAGTGTTGACAGTCTAATTTAATTATTCATTTTTGTTTATTATCCTCTCTTCTTATTTCAAAACATGTTTAATATATAGAATTTTGTAACTTTTAAGTTATTTATTTTTATAACTTCCAACTTATTGAAATCATATGACCTCTTATACCTAGGTATAACCTTTTATATACCTAATTAATAATTCCTATTCTAATTATAAATAATACATTTGATGGAATCGCTTTCTTTAGTTTATTATGCAATTTGAGAAATTTTGCATAAAAATATGTCGATAAATCAATAAAAAGAGCAAATCAATAAAAAAGCATCACTGAAATTGTGTTACTTTAAAAAGTTGTCAATAAAGAAGATTTAATTTAATGAAAATTTAAAGCTTTGAATAAATGAAATTTATTGAATAACAAAAAATCAAACAAACATAAATTTCATCTAACAATCTCTCTTAAAGCAAAAAATTAAAAAGACTAAAAGATCTATCTATTCGTTTGCTCAATTAATTCTATTTATTTTCATTTAAATATGAATAGAAGCTATTAATTTATACTGTATTAATACCGTAACCATACATATATGAATATAATAAAATATACATTTAATGAATTAAAATAACAATTTCAGTCGTTCCCTTTCTTATTTCCTATTTTTCGTTTCTTTTTTTCACTTTAAAAAAAGAAGTACACAACGAAAATTGCTTGCGCAAATACCGTATCCAACGAATATTTTTCATATTTTCTTCTACTTAATTTATTTCATATTATATATTCTATATACTATAATATATAATGTTAAATATGTCATAAAGAGTTTGTTTTTTTTAATCCCCCTATTAAATTATATTCTTATTTCAATTATTAAATATTTTCTATATATTATTTCATTTCAAATTTTTTTGTTTTTCTTCTCTTCCATTATATTTCAATGGTTTCTTTGCATTTCTTTTACTTTCAATTCGCTAATAATTAATTCTTTCTTTTAAAATTTATCATTTCTATCTTTTTCCCATTCACTCATCAAAAGCTGTCAATTGTAATAATATACAGAAAATAGTATGAGAAATGAGGAAAAGGAAGAGGATGAAGAATTATTTTTACAATAGAATTAATTAATTAATTTTAAATTTTACAATTTATTATTGATTTTATTAATTTTACCTTTCAGTGAAAAAGACCTTAAAACAAATTACTTTTGAGAAATAAATTTATTCTTTTAAAAATTCATTTCAATTTTTGAGAGAGAATGAAACTTTCGATAAATTATAGTAATTATAAATTATATTATAAATTATAAATTATTCTTATAATAATGATAAATTATAAATTCTTATAGTAATGTTTGTCGCTTTGATAATAATATTATTTTGCTTTCTCTTCAATTAATTCCAAATTAATTTACTTTAAAAATTAAATTATTCCCACGGCTTGACATAAATTAGCAAATAAATTTGTTATAATGACAGGTCAACAACAAGTGAGTAATGTCATCATTGTTTACACAGACAAATATAACGGTCAAACGCAATGGATAATATGGAATAACCAAATACAGCCTGACAGTTTAATGAAAAATTTCAACAAACAAATATAATTAGCTATTATAATTAAGCTAAATAAGAAAGTTAGAGAGTGGATGAAAGAAAGAGTTGAGAAAAAGAAGTATAACAAATTTCTTTTGATTAAAGTTACTAACAAAATGTAATCATTATCATATCATATTATCATTGCCAAACAAGCAGTAACTGATAACAATATTAGCAATATTAGCCATGAATTCCTTTCTATGTAGTAACCGGAAAAGATTTTGCATAACTCATGTGATTGATGTGATATTAAGATATGTCAATCAACCAATCATTCATTGTTGTTTCTTTCCGGATATATCAAATAAATAAGAAAAACAAAATTCCCTCCTCTCTACCCTTTGACCTATCTCACTCTCATATCAAAAGAAGAAAAAGAATTTCGTTAAATTGTCATTTGCGCTATCGTGACAGATTGGCTAATTTATATATATTTTTAAATTTTGAAATAATGAAGAAAATCAAATTTTCATACTTTCAATTATGTAAAACAGAAAACAATTAAAATTAATTTTAAATTAATTAGAAAATTATTGAATTTGTGTCTAATTTCATTTCTTTTTAATTTTGAATATCTATTTGAATTAAAATTTCATGCAATCAATCCAAAAAATCTTTCAACTGAAAAACTTATTCGAAATTTGTTTTTTTCTAATTATTAATTACATAATTAATTACTTACGAAGGTATGGGAGGCAAAGAAAGATGAACTTACACTTCTCCGACAGATGCTCGAATTAAGAAGAGGAGGAAGATGTGACTGTTGACAGGGTCTTTGAGGGACTGTACTATTGGTGGAATTCATCTGATTAGTTGAATAATATGGAAATGGAAACGTTGATTGCGTATTTCCCGCGATATCACGATCTGATGTCATATTGGGATTGGAACAATTATCGGGAAAATTATTGCTAAAATTGTGAGCAAATGAGGAAGCAACCATTGAAATAGATATCTGTAAGCAATGGAAAAAGCCATTGAAGATTTAAGAAGAGGAAGAGAGAGAGAGAGAGAGAAAGGAAGGGAGGGAGAGAGAAAGAAAAGAATGAGATGGAATGGATTTCTTCAGAGAATAGGAAAGCAAAGAGTTTGAGAAAAAAAACGGAACAGATGAGAGGAGAAAAAAAATGAAAAAAAAAAGAGAAAAAGAAGAGAAGAGAGAGAAAAGAAAGAAAAGAACCGGGAATTGGAAGATTGATGATGGA